GAGGCCCATGAAACTAATAGGCCTTGCCCAAGCTGATACACAGAAGAGATAATTTGGAAGTAACACTGGAGGCAAGATAAACTGGTCTGAGTTCAAGTTACTATAATTTTTCTTTCTTTCTTTCTTTCTTTTTCTCCTGAAAAGATAACTTGAGTATTTTTTCCCCTGAAATGATAATTAAAGAAACAGGTCTACCTTTTGTAGTGTAAAAGATCTTTTAAGGCCCTTGTTTTAGTAAATACAGTTTATTAAAGATTGTTTAGGGTTTCTAAGCATTTAATTTATTAAAATGATTCTATATAGACATCTACAAGTTATATATTTAAAAAAACTAGATATACAGGGTTTAAACCTTCAGAGAGGAAATGTGAACTCTTGCACTTAATATAATCCATAAACATTTTAAATAATATTTTTACAACTGTTTACAAAACAGATTCAACTCATCTTTCTTCTTCCACCAACTCAATTCTCCTACAAAGTTCTAGCCTCTAAGCCCATCCCCCCACCCCCATCTTTGCATGCAAGCTAATAAAAATCCTAAGGGGCTGAGCTGGCCTGGAAGGGTCCTGACCAGCAGTACTCATCTCCATCAGATCTCTGCTTGCTCAGACCAGAAGCACTGCCAGGAAGAGGTCCCTCTAGATGTGACAGACACTAATAGTCTCTGTGCCAGGCAGTTTTTTACCTGTGATCAGAGTCGAGTGCTGAAAGTATAGCTCACACTAGCTTTCTTATACTACTTGACTCCGAATGGAATTTACTTATGGATAAATTATTGTGCCTATTTTTTCAAGACAGAACTAAAAATAGTTACATTAGGAAACTAAGAAAAACAAATACAAATGCCTTATTTGGCAAACATACTATTTTACAAGGTTATTAAATGTATAACAACCTGAATTTATTATGTATAAAGAGGAATCCTCATGATTTTTTTTCACTCGTATGTAAACATCAAAATAAAACAATTAAAATAAAAGTATTTAAAAATAAAATCCCCACCTGGCTGGTGTGGCTCAATGGATTGAGTGTCATCCCATGGACTGAGAGGTCCTGGTTCGATTCCCCGTCAGGGCACATGCCTGGGTTTCAGGCTCAATCCCTGGTGGGAGAAGTGCAGGAGGCAGCTGATCGGTGTCTCTCTCTCACATTGATGTTTCTCTCTCTCTCTTAAAAATGAATAAAAACATATTTAAAAATAAATAAATGAAGTTCCCAAGATGTCTAAGGTTGCTTCCACTTTCCTGAGTAAGAAAAAGGGATTCTAAAAAATTTCTTTATTCAAATAACATTTGAGAGTTGACCTTGTTGTTTCCTAATTAAACAAAATAAAATTTGGACTTTCTCTTCCATGCATACAAACTTTACTTCATTATACACACACTATTCTATTTGCTTTTGAAAAACACGTGAAATCCAAAGTGACATTTTTAGAACTACTTCTTTTTTTTCCCTCACCCAAGGACATTTTTTTTTTTTTTTTTTCATTTATCTTCAGATAGAGTGGGAGGAAGAGAGGGGGAAAGAGAGAGACACATTGAGTGGTTGCCATCCACACGACCCCAACTGGGGTGGGGGCAAACTGCAACTGAGGTACGCACCCCTAAGCGGGAACCAAACCCGGGACTTTCTGGTCTGCAGGTGGACGCTCTAACTGCTGAGCCAAACCGGCCAGGGCAAGAACTTCTTTAAAAATATCTTTATTACTCCATATACACTGCTATTTGGATAAATCTCTCCTTAAATGTAAAGCATTTGCAGTATATTTCTATGAATGCTGTAGCTTACTTTTAATTAACAATAAATTCAGTATTACTTTAATGTGAATGCAGGATTTCACAAAATTGTGTGCAATTTTCCCAAATCAAAACCAATCCCTTATACTACTCTTTAATTTAAATTGAGATGTTAAACTAGTCAATATCTTATGTATGCTGGACCCTTTCCCTTTAAAAATACAAAACCCTCCTTCCTTTGAGCCCATGTTCTCTCCTCTAACCGATGCCTTGCTGCTTCTCATCACAGCCACCGATTTTATAAGTAACCTGCACTGTGTGCTTATTTGTTTCTTTCACTTCTCATCCCCTACAATCTAGCTTCTACCCACCACTATAGAGAAACCACTCTGGATGGCCTCGTACTGCCAAATTCAGTGTACAATTTTCTGTCCTCATTTTGAGTCTTGGCAACATTTAGCATTGTTCTGGCTTTTCACTCTGGTATGCCTCCTCCTACTTTAGCTGTTCAGTAATTTCATGGGCTTCTTTCTAGGCTTGTTCTCTGTTTTCTGTGATTCTCATCCTATCTGGGTGTCTAAAATCCCTCACATACATGTTCTAGATAGAACTCTCCCTTCAAATAGACTGCTTTGGCTCTGGCCAGGTAGCTCAGTTGGTTTGAGCATCGTTCCCATACTCCAGATGCAGGTTTGATCCCCAGTCAGGGCACAAACAAGAATCAACCCATGAAAGCATAAGTAAGTGAAACAACAAATAGATGTTTCTGCCTCTCTCTCTGTTAAAAAAAGGCTCCTTTTCCTGTAGTGCCTTTCTCAACCTGCCATCCAACCACCTGAGAAGGTGAACTGGGAGTCACTCCAGTCTCTGCTCTCTCATTCACTCTCCATATTCATAGAGACTATGCCTCCAACCTCCCTTTCTCTTTGATAGCACTGTCTCTGTGGCTAGCTCAGATTTCACTCCTCACATTAACTGTGCGGATGCCTCCTAAGTGGTCTCCTTACTTCGCCACTGCCCACTCCAACCTCTCCAAAAGGTTGTCAGATTGATATTTCCAAAAGGTCCTTGTGTCATGTCCCTGCTTTAGGTCCAGCAAAGGTTCCCCACAGATTTAGGATCACAGCCCACATTTCTTGGCAGGACACAGAAGACCCTCGATTTTCTGAATCTTCCCCAGCCTTGTCTCTTGCCACTCCCCTACAGGCATCTGTTGATCTAACAATATGGCACAGCTGCAGTTTTCCAAGTACCTAGTTCATTAAAGAAACACACCACTAGGAAAACTCTAGGACTGGCAAACACAAAGCTGTAACAGCAAGTCACTCCTACAAACACCAGCTATTTACTGCTCCCATGGTTTTTCCTTTTCTTCCTTCAGTTCCCACACCATATGGCTGATGCTGCTTTATTAAAAGGAAAAGAGAATGAACTCGAGGTACATGATAAATAAGTTTTCAAAACAAGGGCCTGAAAGTTAACTCTGAGATAATACCACTATGCAAAAACAGATATTAAAAATTCTGTTATCTCTGAGAACAGTAACATCACTAAAAACTAAAATTTAATTAGGGCAAACAAAATGATCTCAGAAGTCTGAGGAAAAACATGGTACATAATATTTTCAATTACTGCTCTTTAAAAAAATATCAGAAATCTTTAGTATATTCTGAGCATTGATCATTTTTAAACTGCTGATGAATGCAGTTTTCAAGTGGACACTCATGTCCACTATTCTTTTTTAAATATGTTCTATAAACCTTTATTTTGAAATTATTCTGATATATGTCTCTTAGTTAACATCCAAAATATTAATAATAATTCCATTTCTGTAATAAGTCAAGAACATTTTCAATTATATTTAAATACATTTAGCAAAAAGCATCTCAATCAAACTTATAAGGAACACCTAAATTTCTATGCACTTTGGATCTTTCAAGACCTCAAAAACTGAATTTATTATGGATCTAAAATTCAAAATTCCACCAATGATTCATCTTAGAGACTAGATTAAGATGTTCTCTGATCATTTACTATTAGATTTTTATTTTGACATTTCATGATGTATTCTGAGTCTTTTTTCAAGTTCTTTTTCTTTTAATACCACGAAGAAAAAAAAGACTAACCTGAGCAGTGTAAACAGGATCTGTGATACTTAATTAAACACCAGCTGGTCAATTCCATCCTTAACCTCATTCCAAGCCTTGCTCACTCATTAATATTTACAGGTCACCATGTTAGAACTGTTCACTTTGAAGTTTGAAAAAATTTGTGTTTTATATTTTAAGTTCTTAGGCATTTTGGAAGTAATCATCTCTATGGTTTGCTCGTGTCAACTGAATTATCAAGAGTTTAGATTTTTATAGATTCATAAGTAAAACAATATGTAAAGAATAAAACCTAATTAAGGTATGGTATTTAGAAATTAGAGTTGCTTTTTGCTCTCATAAACTATCTTTTCCTTTCCTGAAAATAAATTTTCATAGGTCAAAATACAACACAGAGTTAAGGTGAATAACACTAGAAAAAAGAAAAGTGAATTTGTCTGATGGAAAGACAGTGGGTTATGAATGAGGAGGGGCTATTACTTTTCTCATTACTTTAAAAATACTGATTGGCACCCCACTGGTGTGGTTCAGTGGATTAAACGTCGTCCCATGGACTGAGAAGTCCTAGTTTGATTCCTGGTCAGGGCACATGCCTGGGTTGCAGGCTAGATCCCTAGTAGGAGGTGTGCAGGAGACAGCTGATCGATGTTTCTCTCTCAGTGTGATGTTTCAATCTCTCTCTCCCTTCCTCTTTCTCTAAAAATATAAATGAATAAATAAAATAAAATAAAAATATTGATTGGGCCCTGGCTGGTGAGGCTCAGTTGTGTGGGCATTGTTCCACGCACCAAAAGGTTTCGGATTCAATCCCAGTCAGGGCACATGCCTGGGTTTTGGGCTCCATCCCCCGTGCGGGGGCCTTCAGGAGGCAGCTGATTGATGTTCCACTCTCACATTGATGTTTCTCTTTCTCTAAAAATCAATAAAAAATACTTCAAAAAAAATTCTGATTAGGACATTCTAATATATATTTTTTTAAATTGTGATAGAAGGACAAATAATGGAGACCCTTAGGTAACAAATCCTTTCATTTACTAAACTTATTTTGTGATTTAACCAATTCCTAATACTCAAATACCTATAAGCTACATTCTCCATATTTGAAAGATAATCACATATTTGAAAAACAAAATCACCATTAAGTATTACTTACATTCCAAATCGCAATGTTCCAGAAACATAAGTTTGCCAGTGTGCACAATAGAACATAAACGTCCCAGCAAAACAGCAAAAAAACATCCAATCAGGGTTTGTCCCCAGTTGCACTGCAATACAAGTTCCAAGAACCACAAACACTGCAAAAGAAAGACGGCAATCAAAACTGAAGCATCTGAATTAAAAAAACATTGAGCTGAAATGATTTTAGAGGAGGCAAAAAGAAGTTATCAGTGGTAACAGAAAAGAATTATATACTCTTTTACATTCTCTTGTACTCCACAATTTCAATCTCATCATTCTCTACACCATTTAGTGAAACCTGTTTTTCAAAGCAACTAATTAAAATACGTTAGCACTTTTTTGGAGTATTCTCCAGACTTTGTGATAGCGTACCAATGAGAAGTAAAAAATGACAAGCAGAGAGTCAAAAAGAAAGAAAACACAAAAGGCCTACATAATTCACAAAGGGACCTACTTGCTTCAGACTGACAGCCGTCTTTTCTTATTTAGCAGATGTCATTATGGTCTTCCCTATAAAAGTTTTAGAACTCAAACTACAGTGCAAAAATGACTACCCCTTAAAATAAAATATAGGATACCTATCATTCTGCTATCACCAATTAAATTAAAATAGCTTTTGGAGAGGCCCAACTAGCCTTTATTCAGTGGAAAGGTTGAGTTTTTCTAGAGTCTTGAAAATTTTTTATCCAAGTTGAGCTGGTCCTCTCCTCCACCAAGCAAGCTGCTGTCAGGATACACCAAAACAGTAACTTTAACAAGCACCCACATCTGGGAATCTGCATTCTCCAGGTAAAACTATCTAGATTTGTTTGTTTCTTTTGAAATATTTTAACTGCTATGCCAAATGTTAAGAAACCAACTGAACTAAATAAAAATAAGTGTGTGTGGTGGCAGGGGGTAGGGAGGCTGGGGAGTTCTTGTCAGGAAGACTAGTTAGAAACTGTCATTTGGTTTCTAAATCTCCTTTTTTGCTCTCTAAAAAAGTACCAAAATATTATTTTATTTATTTATTTTTAAAGATTTTTTCCTTTATTGATTTGAGAGAGGACCGGAGAAGGAGTGTTAGAAACATTGATGAGAGAGAATATCCATTGGCTGCCTCCTGTATGCCCTCCAATGGGATCGGGCCCACAACCTGGGCATGTGCCCTGATCGGGAATCAAACCTGCAACCTCTTTTTTTTTTTTTTTTTTATCCTCACCCAAGGACACTTTTTCATTTTTTTGTTCAGATAGAGTGGGAAGGGGCGGGGGGGGGGGGGGAAAAACATTGATGTGAAAGGGACACATTGAGTAGCCGCCACCTGCACGACCCAACCTGGGCCGGGGACAAACTGCAACCAAGGTACACGCCCTTAGCAGGAACTGAACCCGGGTCTTACTGGACCGCAGGCCGACGCTCCAACCGCTGAGCTAAAAGAGCCAGGGCAAACCTGCAACCTCTTGGTTCATGGGTTGACGCTCAACCAGTGAGCCACACCAGCCAGGAAGGAAATATTATTGTAAAAACAGTACAAACAGCCCTGGCTGGTTGGGTCATGTGGGTGACAACCAGTCAATGTGTCTCTCTCACATCGATGTTCCCCCCAAACCCCGCTCTATCTGAAGATAAATGCAAAAAATGTCCTCGGGTGAGGATAAAAAAACAAAAACAAAAACAAAAACAAAACAGTACAGTGACATATCACCTATAATCCAACTACGGTAACTCATCTATTGGTAGCACATTAATGTATTTTCCCAATCTCTTTATCCAAGCTCATTATCACACAGTTGTACTCCAAATCTACAAGATAATTTTAAATGTTTACATAATATCCACTTAAATATAAAGACAAGGAATTTCCTAGTCTCTCACTATTGTACTCACATCTATAATTTATGAGGTTTTTTTGATGACAACTATGCCCTAAGATATTTAAAAATAACAGGTGCCAAAACATAATATTTATGGCTAAAAATAACTTTAGTAGAGGTTAACATAATTTCTAAATTTCCCAATATAGTTAATGAGCAAACATTAACCTAAATACTAAAACTTATACAAAATCACTCATTCTGATAACTGTTATAACACCATAAACCTCTTATTTATTCTAACATTGTCTATCACTTTCCTTTTGTCACTATTAGGCATTAACATTAAAAAAATCTGTAGTACCTGTTGATAGTGAATCACAACCATGATCAAAAAGTTCTCCCAAAGGACTACTGCTATTGGTTCTTCTTGCCTGTTTCCCATCTATAGCATCCAAAGACTGGTAAATGAAAAGGCCACAGGCACAGGCAATATATGCCCACAGCGGTGCCTGTGAAATAAAATAAGAAAAGCAAGACAATTAAGATATACTCATTACTCTGTTTGGCTAATATATTTTATTTTCATTCTTCAGAGAGCACTAAGCTATAGGAGAGAAGCTATAGGAGAGAAGATCCAAGTGATACATAAAGAAAAATGTTCTCAAACAATTCGAACTGTAAAAGAATTAAATTCCTTAATTAGTAGGGGTGCTCAAGCAGAAGCTGGATAATCACTTCCCAGGGACATTACAGAAATCCCATGATAGATTAGACCTGGTCATTTCTATATGATTCTTTCTAACATTTAGATTCTAAGAGTCAATTAATGAATAATCTAGTACAGTTTTTCCCAAATTGTATCTTTCAAGATGTTTACAGGCATAATGTGAAAAAAGAAAAACTTCCACGCTAAACTCATGTGGGAAACACTGTGTTAAACAATGCCAAACAGATTTCTCTATTGCAGGACTTCTACCAGCCCTTAGTATTACTAATGCATTCTGTGAATATTCCAGAAGGGGGACACAACATGCTGCTACTTCCCAATCTATCTAGGCACGTAGCTTAGTTTTAAACACACTTCTTCAACATTCAATGGAACAACACTAGAGAAATAACGACCTAGTACACAGAGTGCTTCGAACATGATCTGTCAAATAGTTATGGTCACATTTTCAAAAAATAGTTTTTTTCCCATACAAAAACCGAACCGCCAATACTAAATTTAAATGTTGTGCATTTTAAAAGGAGAGCTTCTATTTGGTTTGTTCTCTTTAAAAGTATAGAAGATGGCCCGGCTGGTGTGGCTCATTAGTTGAGTGTTGACCCATGTATCAAGAGGTCGCCAGTTTGATTCCCAGTCAGGGCACATGCCCAGATTGTGGGCCCGATCCCCAGTGGGGGGCATGCAGGAGGTGGCCAACTGATGTTCTCTCTCATCGATGTTTCTATCTCTCTCTCCCTCTATCTTTCTCTCTGTCTAAAAATCAATAGAGAATAAAGTATTTAAAATAAATAAAATAAAATAAAAATATAGAAGAGGACCGGCTGGCCTGGCTCAGTGGATTGAGCGTCATTCCATTGACTGAGAGGTCTGGGTTCGATTCCCGGTCAGGGCATATGCCCAGGTTGTGGGCTTGATCCCCTGTAGGAGGCATGCAGGAGGCAGCCAATCAATGTTTCTATCTCTCTCTCCCTAAAAAAAATAAAATAAAAATATAGAATATTTCATATCACTTTTCACTATTTCCCATGCCAAGGCAAGAAAATATTTTTATAAACACAAGATATCAAGTTGGTATTTTCTCAGCAATTAATTATCAAGTTGAACTGTATTAAGTGCCCAGAGCTGCAAATTAAAATGACTCAGAGCTGCAAATAACATTAAGTATATTTTGCATTGCAAGGAGGTTTGTTTCTCTCTGATAAGAGATCCATTTAGTTCTTGGTTATTAAAGGTAAGGATCTTTTCCTCAATGTGTTCTTGGAGTCTCATACTTCAGGACACTGAGGCCCTTAAAAGGACTATAGCATATACCACCCCCAGGCCATAGTTCCAAACCAGGAAAGCAGTGCACACAAGCACACTGGAATGAATGATTAGTCTTGTGTGACTAAGATCCCCATCTTCTAGACTTGGGTCTACTGCTTCTTGCTCCTAAAGGAATCCAGTAACTCTACAGCAATACTGTGTGACTATTTTAGTTTATATTTATTAAAACTAAAATTTCATTTTCTCAGTTGCACCACACACATTTCAAGTACTCAATAGCAACACGTGGCTAGGGCTCCTATACGGGACCACACAGACACACACTACTATCATCACAGAAATTTCTACTGAATAGTACTGCTTTAGGGAACTAGAAAGCTAGGGACTTTTGGGGGTCTAAATCTAGAACTGTAATGGGGCGGTGTTACTATGGAACAGAGACAACTTCAATTATATACAAATAATCCTAAAGAACATCAAATCCATAATTATCTATGTAAGAAAGAGAAAAAAAGCCTTATTGTCTTTGAATTTTTCTTTCTTTCTGTGAGTCTATGACACTAAACTAACTTATCTATTTCTTCCTTGTTCCCATTATTTCCCAACTCTCAGAGGTGTTTTAAAAAGAAAGCCTTCTGCTCTGGCCTGGTGGAGGGTTCGATTCCTAGTCAGGGCACGTACAGGAGGCAAGTAATCGATGTTTCTCTCTCACACTGATGTTTCTCTTTCTCTCTCTAAAATCAATAAACACATCTCCTTGCGTGAAGATTTAAAAAAAGAAGACGAAAGCCTTCTCATTCTGGAATTACTATGGTCTCAGCAGGGTGAAAAGAAGTCTGGAGATACATTAAATGAATGAAGCAACTAATGTATCAATCAGGTATCATTACACCCTGATAGGTCGTCAGAGAAGAACTGGAATAAGCAAATAATCTTATCACAACCTGGCAATTAACTAAACTGCAAAATCTTACAGAGATGTTCTTAAGTGACTCAACACACAGTGAAAATTTTTAAGAAACTTAAGGATTTACTAAACTCTGAAACAGAATTGAGGGATTTACATACACTCAAATATATACATATGCTGGTATAAGAGTGACCCCCCCCCCACCCAAGAGACTACAACAAAAATTGTTGTTTGAATTTTTCTATGTATTTTTTTCCCTTTCCTTTTTAATGCCAATAGTAGTTAACTGGGCAATGTGCCATTTTAATTATCTCCCCATTTTTCTATATTTAAAAATAATCTAACATGTTTTTTAATGAGTTAAATCAAAAGCATTAAATGTAGCAATATAAAAACAAATGAACACTAAAACAAAGCACTATCATCATATTTCAAAAGTGATATATAAACCTGATAGACAGCTCTTATTGGTAACTGCATATAGCTCAGTACTGGTTTTCCTGTGTATAAAATAGATAGCACCAATTTTCTCCATCTTTCTTACATGGCAAGGGTAACTCAAGCATATGTAACATAAATCAAGCTGCCAGATGAATTACAAATTAACTTATGATACTAAAATCAAAGCTAGTAGCTGATAAGGTTTAAATGCTTAGTAACAGAAAAAGATCATGAGAATACTTTGGTATTCCATATAAAAAAGGAACTCCTAGAGACTTCCAGTAAAGATGGCAGTATAGGTAAACACCTCCTCCCACAACATAAAAATTACAACTAAACTACAGAACAACTATCCTTCAAAATGCCTGAAATCGAGCTGAATGGAAGTTCTACAACTACAAAAATAAAGAGGCCACATCCAAACTGGTAGGAGGGGCGGAGGCGCAGATGGGGTGGTCCCCCACCCATGGGTAGCAGATAAAAATCAGGAGGACACCTCGGCTGGGAAGGTCCTTCCTGAGGACTGAGGGGTCCCCGTCCCATACCAGGCGCCCAGCTCAGGGTTCAGTGCCAGGAAGAGAAGTCACCATCACTTCTGGCTGTAAAAACCCAGCGGGAACTGAAGCTGAGAGAGGCTGAGGCTGCTGGAGCCCAGGCAGCTCCTCTTAAAGGGCCTGCACATGGACTTACTCAGATTCACTCCCTCTGAGCTCCAGCATGGGGGAGGCATCTTGAAAGGCACCAGAGATATATGGGGAAGAACTGAGTTGTTTGGCATTGGGGTGAGGGCTGGAAAGGCAGCCTTCTTCTGGACAGATGTCCTGTCAGAGGCCTTTGTTACTTTGGTGAGCCCTTCCCCCACGAGGCCTACAGAGGGCCGCCATATCTGGGACTCTAGCAACCTGGCTTATATTGTTTGCCCTGCCCTGGTGATTTAATGAGGCCCTGACCCACCCAACTTTCAGACGCACCCAAGCTGTTACCAGTTGCTTTACCAAAGGAATGTCCTGTCTTGGATCCTGCTTCAGATTTTCCTAAATTCTCTCAAATAAGCAGCCTCTCATCTCAGAGAGCCCCATACCTCTCAGTAAGTGGCCCCTGACCCAACACTAGAAGCAGCCAGCCTTGGTTCACAACATGGCTTTGCCTGGGCACCTCCAAACCCAGCACAAGAAACAGCCATCCGCAGACCGCTTTGTAGCTTATGCCTGGTGGCTCCGGGTAGAACACAGGCAGTGGCTGACCTTTCCCTAGAGCCAGCACACCTAGTGGACAGCTTCTGAACACTGCGAAGCACCACCACCCAAACACCTCCACAAGTGACACACTCAAGGAATGGACTCAGTGGGTACCAGAGCTCTGCTGAAGTTGAACCTTGCTCTGTATGGTGGGCCCCTGCACAACTGATCCTCCAATGGAGTCAGGGGTTGGTAGATGGTGGGTACAACCAGTCCTTGCAGCTGATCAGCCTGAGTAAAATCCTCTCATTGATGTGCCAATAGCAATCAAGGCTCAATTACAACAGAAGGGTATAAAGTCCACACGAGGGGTGCAACTCGAGGGCCCAGCTGGAGACCAGGGAGGCTGTGCCACTGAACCCTACAGGTCACCTACTACAATAGGCCACCCTAGGAAGCCCAGGAGACACAGTAACTCTACCTAATACATAGAAACAAACACAGGGAGGCAGCCAAAATGAGGAGACAAAGAAATAGGTCCCAAAAGAGGGAAGAGAACAAAACTCCAGGAAAAGAACTAAACAAAATGGAGATAAGCAATCCAACAGATGCAGAGTTCAAAATACTGCTTATAAGGATGCTCAATGAACTTAGTGAGGGCCTCAAGAGCATTAAAAAGGACCAGTCAGAAATGAAGGAGGCATTAACTGAAATAAAGAGTAATTTACATAGATTCAATAGTACAGTAGGTGAAGCCAAGAAGCAAACCATCGATTTGGAATACAAGGAAGCAAAAAACACCCAATCAGAATAGCAAAAAGAAAAAAGAATCCCCCCAAAAAAATTAAGATAGAGTAAGGAGCCTCTGTAACAACTTCAAGCATACCAACATTCGCATCATGGGGGTATCAGAAGGAGAAGAGAGAGAACAAGAAGTCGAAAACCTATTTGAAACAATAATGGCAGAAAACTTCCCTAACTTGGTGAAGTAAACAAACATACAAGTCCAGGAAGCATAGAGAGTCCCAAACAAGATGAACCCCAAGAGGTCCACACCAAGACACATCATCATCAAAATGCAAAAGGTTCAAGACAAAGAGAGACTCTTAAAAGTAGCAAGAGAAAAGCAGTTAGTTACCTACAAGGGTGTTCCCATAAGACTGTCAGCTGATTTTTCAAAAGAAACTTTGCAGGCCAGAAGGGAGTGGCAAGAAACATTCAAAGTGATAAAAAGCAAGAACCTACAACCAAGATTACTCTATCCTGCAAAGCTATCATTTAGACTCGATGGACATATTAAGAGTTTCCCGCCCTGGCTGGTTTGGCTCAGTGGTTAGAGCGTCAGCCTGCAGTCCAGAGAGACCTAGGTTTGGTTCCCGCTAAGGGCACGTATCTTGGTTGCAGTTTGTCCCGGGCCCTGCTTGGGTTGTGCAGGTGGCAGCCACTCGATGTGTACCCTTCACATCGATGTTTCTCTCTCTCTTCCTTTCTCTCCCTCCTACTCTATCTGAACAAAAAATGGAAAAATGTCCTCGGATGAGGAAAAAAAAAAAAAAAAAAAAAAAAGAGTTTCCCAGGCAAGAAAAGGCTAAAGGAGTTTATCACCACCAAACCAGTATTATATAAAATGTTGAAGCGCCTTCCTGAAAAAAAAGATCAAAAATATGAACTGACAAAATGGCAATAAATACATATCTATTGACAATTGAATTTACAAACAAAATGAACAAGCAGAACAGAAACATTCTCATAGATACAGAGAACATTTTGTTGGTTGCCAGATGGGAAGGGGGTTGGGGGAATGGGTGAAAAAGGTGAAGGGAAGAGATTAAGAAGTGCAAATTGGCTCTCGCCAATTTGGCTCAGCGGTTAGAGCATTGGCCCGTGGACCAGAGAGTCCTAGGTTCGGTTTCTGCTAAGGGCATATACCTCGGTTGCAGTTTGTCCTCGGCCCCGGTTGGGTCGTGTGGGTGGCAACCAGTCGATGTGTCTCTCTCACGGCAATGTTTCTGCCCCCCCCCCCCCCCCCCCCCGCTCTATCCAAAAATAAAATGCAAAAATGTCCTCGGGTGAGGATCAAAAAAAAAAAAAAAAGTGCAAATTGGTTGTTAGACTCACAAACCTCAAAGGGAAGTGGGGGTCGGGGGTGGGTGGGTGGGAAGAAATAAACCAAAGAATGTCTATGCATACATGCATAACCAATGGACACAGACAATAGTGTGGGGAAAGGCAGGAGGGGGTCAGGAGTAGGGAGGAGGGGATTAATAGGGTAAAAGGAGGAACATTTGTAATACATTCAACAGTAAAGATAAGTTTAAAAAAAAAAAGAAAAGGGAAGTCTGCATTTCTACTTTAGGACTGATTTTCCTTTCTTATCTACTGGAAAGTTTGTTTTTTCCTAATATAAAAGGTAAATAGCCAAAACTGTTACAATAGTGACATTCTTTTCTACCAGAAAGAATGATGTCTAAAATTCTAATGTAATTTAAAAAACTAGTAACTTAAAAAATATGTGGAAAGTTCAAAATACCATGAACATGAAATTTAATGCCTACCCACTAATAGGCCCAAAAGAATCAGAGCTAAAATGAATGAGAATATATTTATGGAATCCTGGACTACAAAACACAGATAAGGAAAACAAGAAACTCAATATGGACTTGTGATCCCACATATAATGTATTATTAGAAGGAATCAGGAATGGAATAGGTTGTAGAAGAATAGGTTATACACTTAATCTTTTTGACCAATAAAATAATAACCACCTACCATTTACTGAGCATTACATGCTAGGCACCCTGAACACCCAATCTTATTTAATCATCATAATACTCTAAAATAATATTAAAGAGGATAAATAAACTGTGACTTGGAGAATTTATATAGCTCACTAAAGATCTCAGAGATAGTAAGAAAACAGCCATGACCTGTGTTCTGATCGAAGCCTAACAAGCATTTCTAACAGGCAGCTAGAGTCATCCAGGCACAGTCTTTGTGGGACATGAGTTCCCTTGCAGAGCACCACACAATGGCTCAGTTATATTCTACCTTGATTCCTCTCAGCAGCAATTCTGAAGTTTTCCATGATTAGTGTAGTAACTCTGGAAATTTCCCAAAACATTTAACTAACTCTAGGGTTACTCCAATAATTCCAGAGCACTTAAGAATAGAGGCTGAGGAAAAATATTATTGGGATCAATGTGCCTGGTACACTCTGAGTGTTCAGTAAATCAATATTAGTGGCTGAGCTACCTTTAAATCTGCCCTCATCCTCTGATCCCCATCCTGGAACTAGCTCAGATCTATTGGAGGGCTTTTAATGGAATTGACCCACTCCCCTGTTGTTCTGAATTTCTAAGGATGTGAGAAATCTGGACCAAATTCCTCTGGAAGCAGCTGTTAGGTCCTCAAGTAAGCCACTTATAAAACAGCTCCAAGGGCAGGTAGAATCCAAGGACATATTTGTGGAGGAATAGACTATTCCATGATGTGACTGCTGCAGGACCTGCCAGCTAGATCCAGAAACATCTGGGCCAGAGCAGAGGTAGCTTCCTGAAAATCCCCTTACCTAAGCCCCAGGCATGCTAGTTCCTAGAACAGGCAGTTGCCCTGCCCACCAAGCAGGTCACAGGAATATCCCTACCCATCCTGCCCTGTTCCATATAAGTCTTGTGCCTGCTCTGAGAAACTCTCCCAACAATATGTAAACGGTCATACTGGTTTTTGTTTTTTAAGTTTCCTGATTGATAAAGTAAGATAGTAAGAAAATGAGAAAAAACCAGAAATATGTCCATATAATCTGTATGGACTGGATTTGTGTAGTAAAAGAGGAATTAAAATAAAGTTATTCAAGGATGAGAGGGAAATGAGCATCTGGGAGAAAAAAAAAATCAACTATGAACTGATGAAAACAGAAAGGGATAGATGATGACAATTTTATCTCAAAGGACAAATAATATGAAAAGACTACTTTAAAAAATGTTACTTCAAGCTTAACACATACAAGAAACGTTGTGGCCATTATGACACATGGTTCAGAGTCACGTAAAAAAAAAGTCACTTAAGACACCTTTAGTTGAAGAGCACCTTCTATCCTCTTGTGTTACCTGAGACTGATCATTCTGACTAATACAGGCACAACAAATGTTTGATTCTTTCATCTACCCAACTACCTCAGTTCATTTTCTGAGAAGGAAATTTTAAAACCAGAGATAAATATCAATTTACCCATTCTGATGAAGGGTTCTGGTTTCAGTTTTGGTTTTAAGTAATGAGTTCAGAGGGTAAAAGAGGAAACAGCAATAGAAACTTGGATTTGAGAAGGCCCAGGGAGAGAGTCTCTGTAAGCATTTTCATGCTTCCTTTCTTTTTTTCTTGGTTAATCCTCACACAAGGATATTTTCCCATTGATATTTTGAGAGTAGAAGGGAGGGAGGTAAGGGACGGGGAGGGAGCTAAGGGAGGGAGAGGGGGGAGAGAAGGGAGTGGGGGGAAGAGGGGAAAAGAGGGAGAGGGAGAAAGAGGGAGAGAAGGGGAGGAAGGAGAGTAAGGAAGGGGGGAGAGAGAGGGGAGAGAGAGAGGGGGAAAGAGGGAGGGAAGGGGAGGAAGGAGAGTAAGGGAGGGGGAATAGAAAGGGCGGGGGCAGAGGGAGGGGGGAGAGAGAGGGGGAAAGAGGGAGGGAGGGGAGGAAGGAGAGTAAGGGAGGGGGAATAGAGAGGGCGGGGGCAGAGGGAGGGGGGAGAGAGAGGGGGAAAGAGGGAGGGAAGGGGAGGAAGGAGAGTGAGGGAGGGGGAATAGAGAGGGCGGGGGCAGAGGGAAGGGGGAGAGAGAGGGGGAAAGAGGGAGGGAAGGGGAGGAAGGAGAGTGAGGGAGGAGGAGAGAAAAACATCCATGTGAGAGAGACACACTGATTGGTTGATCTCCTGAAGGACCCCAACCAGGGCCAGGGATCGTACCTGCAACTTAGGTACATGCCCTTGACCGGGAATTGAACCCACGACCTTCCAGTCTATGGGCAGATGCTCTAACCATTGTGCCATGCTAGCTTTCTTAAAGGCAGCACAGCAGGATGCAGAGCAGGAAATACATTACATTGACTTTTTCTTATACTTCTTTTGCTTTGTTAGAATAACAGACTTATCTGAGGTTCACCAGCCACATGTGTATAAGAAGAGAAAGGGATATTCAACAGTCTCACTGGAATGGAGAAGGACAACACTTTAAAAAAAATCCTCACCTGAGGATATTTTTCCATGTATCTTCAGATACAGTGGGAGGCGAGGGTGGGGTGGGGGGTGGGGGGAGAAAGCAGGAGAAGAGAAACATCACTGTGTCACATCAACTGGCTGCCTCCCGCATGACCCCGGTGGGGGACCAAACTGTAACTGAGGCACATGCCCTTGACCAGAATCAAACCCTCCACTCTTTGGTCCACAGGCCAACACTCTAACCACTGAGCAAAACTGGCCAGGGCAACAACATTTTTTTTAATATGACTAATTTCCAGCCATGCCACCTCACTACCACAGACGTTCTACTCTGATTATTTTAAACTTTGCCAAAACTTCATTCAGCCATCCACAAAATGGGGGAAATAAAACTCTTTTGTAAAGAATAGAGATTTACTGATTTTAAAAGTAACATTTTATGTGTTAAAACCTGCTAACATTAATTTGCCTACCAGAATCAGAGTCCACCCTTATGGTTTCTCATGTGCACAGCGTATAAGGTAGGCTGTAGCAAGCTTTAGTTACAGGATGTGTGACAGGATACTTTAAAACAATGACAAACAGTTGTCAAATTATCTTAGCTCTAGCTAAAATGACCTAGAAATCCTAATCACAGTGCTTTTGGTACGTAACAAATATTCTTATGGATTGTTAAGAAATTCCTCTTACCTGCTCTGTAGCTGTAGGGCAATAGAAGATTAATAAAAGAGTTGTGCAGATGTTTACTGACAATCCAATGATGGTGATGAGATTTGGGGCAATCCAGGAAGGAACTCTTCCAACTAGCCATTCCCAGTATCGCTGCATTAAGGGCTCAAGCAGGGACCGTCCAGCACTCTGGTACCTGTGCTCTTCTAACCGCTTCAGCTGGTGTCTTGACAATGGGGGTGTAGGTAACTGAAACAATTTGTTTAATATACATCCTGGAGTACTCATATGCCCGTAGCCCACAGGGGACTCCGGGCGAGAGTCTCCACATCGTTTCCTTGTTGCCCGGTGCCCACTCATGGACTTTGGCTTTCTTTATTTGGAGAGAATAATTTATCTTGTTTTATAGCTTTTTGTGGCTGGTCTTTACCTGGGGGGAAAAAGTTTGTCAGCCATTATTTACATCATTATCAGTACATTTAAAAGAAAAAAAAGTCAAACTGGTAACAGAGTAATACATATCAAACAGATTAGAAAACCAGGGGTCTAGTTTTGGTTCTAGTTCTCACTGATAGTGTGAGCCAAATGAAGTCATATAACCTCACTTTTAAGTGGAAAATATTAAGGCACTTTAATAGTAATGTGCTTCCTGTTACCTTACAGTTTGTCTGACTTCAAAGCTCATGCTCTTTTTTGCTCTCATTGCTTTCAGTAGTATAATGGAACACATCTTAGAAATGATCTAATCATTTCTAATACATGAAAACAAGTCCAAAGGCATACCCAAAGAGCCACCAAATTAGTATTAATATCAGAGGAATAACCTGACTACTACTGGTCTTAAACTAGACTTTTATTTAATGCTTACAGTTAACATTTATTGAGCACTTACTATGTACTAAAAACTTCAAGCATGTTTTCATGTTTTCTGTATTAACTCATTTAATCTTCACCATAACCCTTGAAGGTAAACACTATTAATCATCCCTATTTTTACAGGAAATGAAACTAAGGCACAGAGAGGCTAATTAACTTGTACAAGCTCAAATAGCTGGTAAGTGAGGTTCAGACAAACACAGGCTTCTGTTTAAGCTAAATTAAAAGATAAAACTTCTCATTAGTAGAAAGGGATATTCCATAAATAGCATTCCAGGTGGGGGTAAAGAGCAATGAAAAATTAACTTCAAGAGGACAGTATATGTGTATTAGCAGAGTGACCTGATGAACTGAAGTGATAAGGAAAAAGTCTACATAAGTGCATTAAGGGATGACTGTCCATAAAGGACTTTGAGTTTAATCCCTGAAGAGATAACATAATTATTATGCTACTAAGCAATGTAAGAAAATACTGACAAGCATATTTTCAAGATTAATAGGATAGGTATATATTAACCAGAATAGAGATAGTAGTGAGAACACTGAAAAATTAGTATGGGGCCCTGGCCAGTGTGGCTAAGTTGGTTGGGGCATTGTCCCATACACTGAAAAGTTGCAGGTTTGATTCCCAGTCAGGGCACATACCTAGGTTTCAGGTTTGAGCCCCATCCCCCAGTCGGGGTGCATATGGGAGGCAACTGATGGATGTTTCATTCTCACATAAATGTTTCTCTCTTTCTCCTTTCCTCTCTCTCTCTCTAAAATCAATAAAAGCATGTCCTTGGGTAAGGGTTAAAAATAATCAAATAAATAAATACATAAGTAAAAATTAGAATGGGGACCTTAAAGGTTTAAAGTGGTGAGGGCCTAAAGTAGGTTAGTAAAAGTGGAAATATAAGACAGTCAAAACTTTAAGCAATGTCTATTTAAAATGAAGAGTCAAGAGAAAGTACTTTGGGATTGGCTATGAGGAGGGTGAAGGAGCAGAGGAAGAAAGTAGTCAGCAGAGACCAGTGGTACTACTGTGAAAAGGGGGGTTGGGAAGAATAATCAGTTGGTTATTTCGGCTTTTGGCAGCAGGGTGGGGATGAGAAAGGATCTGGGGATGAAGGTAGGGAATATATACCTGCAACTTTTAAGTACAAATATTTTAGACAAAATCAAATGACTGGAGTTTGGTATGAAATGAAAATTCCAAGTTATCAACTTAGAAGCTAAAGTCTAGTTTAGGACTAAAAAGTAGAAAAGTTCTTGAAGGGATTAAGTATGAAGAGAAAAAGAAACAAAGAACCTTGTAGGAAACTCATAGTTAGTGAGCAGGAGAAAAAGAAGCCATAAGAGGATTTAAGAAAAAAAAAAAAAAGGAATAGAACTAAAACGGTAGAGGGACTGAACCAAGAGAGTATACTCTGATCTTCAGGTAGGAAGCTATTGCGAGAGTGCTATATGGAATTCCCAGAAATGCTGCACTATGGGAATATAGAATATGATACAGGGTCTAGGACATCTGAACAATGGGTCTAGTATCAAAACATACCCAGGAGTTCCTGCCTCTATTACCATAAGTAACACATTTCAATATTTCAATGTCACTAAAGATCTAAAGCGGTATCCAAAATCACAATCAATTACGTAGCTCATTAATTGTGTGCATAAAAAAGGGGTTATATACTGAATCTAACAAGCTCAAGGGAGGCCTGCATGGCAGGCCTTACAAACTCAGACACCAAAAGCAATCACACAGGATGGTCTCAACATAAAAATTCTTAGCTAAAGGCAGGTCAGGGCAGGTAGACACATTCAAGGCTTGTAGCTTCCTTGACAAAAGTCAATCTTTACTTTAAGTAAGCTTGTCTACTGTCTTTTTGCACCTAAGATAACATATCCTTGTCAGAGTAACATTCTTTTCCAGACCTCTCAGGGCACACCCACCGTATCAGAGCACAGATCACAGAACCCCTCATTGTTACCTTGTTCCCCCAATACCATCTCTATGTACTGTAAATGTTCACTGTTAACTATCCTATACCCACCAAAGTAAAAGAAATACGTGTCTCTGTTTTACTCTTCATCCAATCTCAGAGATTTCCCAGCTTTGCTTTCTCTTGCCTCCCAAATCTACTAGCAATGAATTTCATGTAATTCCTCTATGTCTCCTCCTTTGATTCCAATGTATAAAATAAGCTGCAAAATTTCCATTCTCCAGAGCATGTTCTCAATCGTTCAGATTTTGCTTCCAGGCAACTGTTGTCAGTTTGGCTCTAATAAATTTATAAAAATTCTCTACAGGTTTGGACATTTCTTAAGTCCACAGCATGTCACAAACCAGCTGATTAAATTGCTTTTTAAAAAGTCCTCACCCGTACCCTGGCCAGTTTGGCTCAGCAGCAGAGTGTCCACCCGTGGACCAATGAGTCGAGGGTTCAATTCCAGTCAAGAGGACATACCTCAGTTGCGATTTGTCCAGGTCCTGGTTGGAGGTTGTGGGGGAGGCAACCAGTCAATGTGTCCCTCTCACGTGATGTTTCTCTCTCCCACGCCCCCCATCCTTCCCACTGTGTCTGAAAATAAATGGAAAAATATCCTCGGGTGAGGATTTAAAAAAAAAATCCTCACCCAAGGATATTTTTCTGTTTATCATCAGACAGAGTGGGAGGGAGGGAGAGAGAAACATCGAGGTGAGAGAGACACATCCACTGGCTGCCTCCCGCTGGGCCAGATGGACCACAACCAAGGTACTTGCTCTTGACTGGAACTGAATTTCTGACTCATTGGTCCACCAGCCAACGCCCTAACCGCTGAGCCAAACCGACCAGGGTTAAAACTACTTTTAAGGCCTGGAGGGTGTGGCTCAGTGGATTAAGCATCGTCCCATGGACTGAGGTTCCTGTTCTATTCCGGGTCAGGGTACACGCAGGTTTCAGGCTCCATCCCCTACAGTAGGTGTCGTGCAGGAGGCAGCTGATGGATAGTTCTATTTCTCTCTCTCAAGAAATCAGTAAAAACATATTTAGGAAAAAAAAAAAAACTTTTAAGCAATATTTATATAATGTCAAATAGCTGGTTACAAGATCATTTTAGATCAAGTGACAGACTGATAAGCACCAAAATACTTGGCTTTATATAAGCCAAATTTTCTATAGTAAAATTTAATTGTGCATTTTCATATTTTGTAAGCTATAATCAATCAGCTCTTATGGAATTCCACTTAAAGTTGAAATAAAAAGTTTAGCCAACTTAATTTATATTTTATTATTATAGTATTTCATTTCCTCATTTTTTTTTTTTTTTTTTAAGTGACATACTGAGGATGCTGGCCTGCTTTTGGCACTAACAGCTACAAGCAACTGATCCTAATGGTTTTAAGTTTGAGCATTTGGCAGGACTGTATGATAAACTGATACTTTTTCTTCTGTTTTCCCCCGCTGACCTAGATTTTATTTTAACCCTCTATTTCTCTTTTGGAAAAATCTACATTTTGACAAACCTTTCTAGATCTAGCCACTGTATAATTCACACATGAAATAAAAGCCAAAAAGTTTTTGAACATTTCACTTTGGCAAGATTGTCTCTGTGAAGCTATTAGCAACAAGATTGCAAAAACACATTCAGATACATGTAGCCCCTGACATACTTTGCTTTCAGCATATACAGATAGCTACAGAGATTGCTGTCACTGCCACAGGTCCACCTCCAGTCTTCCTTCCTCTCACCACATCTGAAAGCAAAAGGCTACTGATATGAAAATCATCTCAGGAAAAAATAAGAGCATCTGAATTTTAGCGGATGAAAAAGCATGCATATTTCAAGAGAGCAGGACAGGGTAGGGGAGACTACAACAGGAAGATCAGACTATATGAAGAGAAAGGTGAAAAGGATGTGAGATGGAGATATGGAAAAGAGGTACAAATATTACAAATTTTATTTTAGCCAATTAGGATTTTTATCTAAGCCAGGCCTATGACCTAAAGAATGAGGAAAAAATGTCATTTTCTTGCCACACGACAAGGAAATAACAAAACCCCAAAAGTAAGAAATTAAAATTATTGCTGGCTAGCCTAGAAACCTAGCCACCAGTCATGAGTTTTTATGAGAAAATGGATTCCAAGTTTCAAATGCATTCAGTCAATCTGAGTGCAGTTAACAAGATCAACATGGTCCCAGCTCCCATGTCCAATAGGAAAATAACTAAAGACAGGTAAACAAGCAAATATTACACACTATGATGGGTACTATAAGGAAAACAAAGTGTGGAGCCAGAAAACAGGTGACGGCATACATTTCAGATAAGGTAGTTGAAGTCTGTGAAGAGGCAGCATTTATATCAAATTTAGAGAAAGAGAAGGAGCTAGTTATTTCAAGAGCAGGAGAGCCCTGGCTGGTTTGGCTCAGCAGTTACAGCGTCGACCTGTGGTCCAGGGAGATCCGGGTTCGGTTCCTGCTAAGGGTGCATACCTCGGTTGCAGTTTGTCCCCAGCCCTGGTTGGTCATGCGGGTGGCAGCCACTTGATGTGTCTCTTTCACATAGATGTTTCTCTCTTTCTCTCACTTCCTCTCTCTCCCTCCCACTCTGTCTGAACAAAAAATGAAAAAATGTCCTCGGGTGAGGGAAAAAAAACCACAAAAAGAAAGCAGGCCCTGAGGTAAAAAAAAAAAAAAAAGTGCTTATCTTGTCCAGGTGCCTTTAAGATGGAATGGCTGGACAGCAGTAAACCAGATAGAAGAGTAGAATAAAATGAAGTTTGAAAAGCCAAATAACACAGAGGTTTATAGTCCACAGCAAGGAGTTTTCATTCTGATGTTATGGAAAGCCATCAACAAGCTTATAAAAAAAAACCTTATAATTTAGTAGCACAGCCTATTTGTTAACTGATGATATCTTTTCATATATCATAATAGTAAAAGTGAATGTTTTAAAGTAAAAAGTTCCTATCACCTGGAATTCAGTTTTACCATAATACTGATCATAGTCCTACCTACAAGTATTTTAACTCTTCCACTTCTAATTAGCAAATTCCCCGCCTCTGTTATAATCTGGTTACAATTCAACAGTCCTTTTGACAGAACTTGTCACATTTTTAATTGTTTTTGGTTGTTATTATTATTGGTGTTGGTGGTGGTAGTGGTGTTTTGGTCTTTTCCCCACCAGGCCTGTAAGCTCCATGAATGCAGGGGCCATGCCTATCTTAACATTCTTTTCCAAGAATCTCATAGCATACCTAACACTAAGTAGGTAATTAGTACTTATTTGTGGAACAATGAACAAATAAATATGATTCACCTAGTATGTAAGGATCAGTTAGTTGTTCTGGACCCTGAGGAAACAGAAAGAATGAAACATGCCATCCATGCCCACAAGCAGCTCAAAGGGGTTTTGGGTGGGTGTCTTGTAAACAGCTAAGTTATAACATGCTGGGAACAAACTGCTGTGGGAGTCCAGAGAAGGGAGGCACATATGGTCTAACAAAAATTTTTCTTTGTGCAGTTATGAATATTTTTATGTGAAAAGTCCAACCAAGGTACAAAAATGTAATCAGAGATGTTTAATGAATACCTGCATTAAAATTACATATATTTGTGGACCTTAAATCTATGATGCAAAACATCTGCGCTTATAGCAACGGAGGATAATGGCTTGCAGCCTACATTATTCTATGTTCAGCATGGGGGACACCTGACAAGTATCACACTAAAGAAGGAATCTCTCCCCTGCTCAGCAGAGCATAAGGTAAGCTTACACTAACTATATCCAACCAGTAGTGGGAGATTCCAGAATTCCCGGCTCCCCATGCTTAAGAGTGCCAAATTTTGAACTGCACTGATTCAGCAGTATGTTACAATCCTTTCACAGAAATTGGTGACTACAGAGCTCTTTCCAACTTTTATAGCACCACTAAATGAAAATACTAATGGCCCACACTATTTGGGAGGCAGTGCGAATTGTAAAAAGCAAGTAAAAAAAAAGAAAGAAAAGCAATAGGGTCACAGGATTACATTCAGCATTATTTAACAAGTGATACACAAAACAAGCTAGCAAAAACAAAAGCCTTTTCAGTAGATTTGGAAGCAAAAACAGTACTGGGTAATACAATTTAGATCTACTGTTCTGTCCAACCGAAATCTTGCATTCTTTAAAAATAGGAAACAACTTCCTTCTGGAGGAGGGGGAGGTGTAGCTAAAGTCTACCCTTTTATATTTTCCTATTCCCTTAAAAAAGACAGTACAGCATGACCCTCAAAAAGAACATCAACAGCACTTTTAGGAGCTTAAAGAACACATCTACTGCTGCCTAGAAAACAAATTGACAATGCAATAAAATGTAATTGGGGTTATAAAAAAAGTTTAGAGTTATATGTCAAACATTTAGTCATATTTATAATGTAAACTTTAAGAGAGATTGGGTGTGGAGAGGAGAATAAATTTTTGAAACCACAGTTATATATATATATATTCAGTAATAATTATTAACTGGACAACAAATGAAGACATCTCTTTGGGAGCAGGTTAATACAAGAAGTAGATTTTTCTAACTTATTTCTTAAATGGAAGGATTGTAAAGACAAGTTGCACAAGGGGCTTTGACTAATTCTTCTCAGCACAGAGCAAATATTTAGCAAAATGTTTTAGAACTTCTGGAATGTTATGTGAACATCAATGATTCAAAAGTAGTAATGCTCGAAATGTCCTTACCAGTTTAACCTGTGTTGTTAGTCAATTCAATACACATACTGAACTGAACACCTTCCCATTAGTTCTAGAGTAAGAACTGAGTATTTTTTGTTCACGTACAAGATAAGTCACTAATATTTGTTGAAAGATAACTATGAACTTGCCTACTATCTTAATATGGATTCATTAATGAACTGAGAGACTTAAAGCAAAATTATATATTCAATACCAATAATGCAAAAGGGCAAAAATGACACAAACACGCCAAGCACCGATGGGAGAAAAGTTCAACAGGGCTCAATGTAGCGATCCCATTCATCCAACATTCCCGGGAACGCCGGCGAACCCTGGCAACCCTTCCGCCAAGAATACTGCTCAAATAAACCAGCTGGTGATCTCAGAGCTTGTCAACACACACTGAAATTTCCGGGGAAGTTGCTGACCACGAAGCGTGGCCCATCCACGAAATACCAGTATCACATTCCAAGGGAACGGCATCCCCAGCAGAGGATGCAACACGGTTCGGCGTGGACCTGACAGGCAAGGTCGGTTCCCCGCGGGCAGCGCCCCCAGCCCTCGTCCGCCGCGGTTCTCCCACCCCGACTCCCACAGTTCTCGAGCTCCCGCGCTGGCACCTCGCCATCTCAACCTCTCCACCCGGGGCCAGCGGGGCAGAGGCCCCTCGCGCTCCCCACAACCCCGCGCGCGAGCCCACCCAGCGGGTGGAGGGACGGCGTTCGCCTCGCGCGAGTCCTACACAGCTATACTCCCATGCCCCACCCTAGAACACGGAGTCCTCTCCAACCCCTTGAGAGTCGTGTCCCCCAACACATCCTTCACACCCTGACCGTCTTCCCAAGACTGAGCCCCACAGCCTCACCCAGACCCCAACAAGCACACCCCTAGAATTGATACCTCCGACTCCAGCCGACTGAGTGACTCTGATGGGCGGCAGCACGTTCACGACACTTTCGTGATTGCCGTAAAAAAATACGGAGTCGGAAGAGCCGCGCCGCAGGCGCGCTCCCGTCCTGCGAACAGGAGCGCGCCCCTCAGGAGCGCGCCCCGGGCCTGGCGTGGCTGCTCGGGTGCGCGCCCCTCAGGAGCGCGCCCCGGGCCTGGCGTGGCTGCTCGGGTGCGCGCCCCAGGGCCCGCCCCATCTCCGTCCAGCCTGCAGGCTCCGGACCCTGCGGTCATCCCTGGCGGGCTCATCCTGGCAAGGTAGGCCTAAAGGGGGGCGAGGAGCGGCCCTGGCCCTCTCTAGGAGTGTGTGTCAGAGGGTCCGGAGGGCCGGGGAAATGGACGCATCCCGGACCCCCCACCACCCGTGGCGAGCGTGCGAGTCGTGTGCCAGCTCGCGGTGCTTCCAGGAAAACACTGTGAGAGGCGCGGGAGAGGGACCGGGTGGTGGCCGCGGACGGGACCCGGGGTTCCCGAGGGTCGGGGCGTGTGCGGGCTGGGCTCAGGTCTCCTCGCCTCACCTTTCTGGCGGGGTCCTCGGTCTCTTCACGCACCCCACCCCCCGCGCCCCGCGGCCCCGCGGCCCCGAGGCCCCGCGCCAGGCTAAGCTCCGCCTCCCGCATCTTTTCCCGGCCCCAGGGGCGGCGGAGCTCGGTCTGATCCAAGGGTTTCGCGCCTCCGGAAGAAGGCAGCGGTCTAAATATGCAACTCCCTGGTTTTGTTTGTTTTTAGCTGTTACCGAGAACCTTTGTCCCAGTTCCACGAAAACTGCGGTTGAGTATGCTTTTCACTTGTCACTTCTGGGCTCGGATTCCTCGGTAGGGAGTTGGAGGGGGGGGTTTGAAATTGAGATCTGTAGTGACCTTGTGTGTTTACACGAAACTCAAGCCTACTACGTGCAATTCTATCGCGGGGTGGTGGTGGGGGTGAGCCCAATACTGAAAGGCAAATAGCCAGTCCGTTGTATCCACAACAGTGCGTTACTTTTAAGATACATGTGAAATACGCAGAAATGTGGTTTTTTTTCCAGATCTCCCAAATATTAACATACAAATCAGTATCCAAATGCAGTTCTGTAATTTGAAATGCATCACCAGACTCTCCTTCAAATACCTGTAATATTTGACCCAACTTATTTTAAAAAGTTGCTTCACCTTCTAGACTCTTTAGGATTTAACCATTATAAGAATATTTTATTTGTCAGAAGGCCAAGTTAGAATTTAGAAGAATAACCGTTTTCTAATATACTTTGGGCCTGATGGTTCTGTTTTCCCAAAAAAGAAGCTTAGGGCTTTCCCGCTTCCCTTGGAACATTCAGAATTTTCTTTCTTATCAGATCTTAGCACTCACCACTTAAAGGAGACAGCATAAGAAATTCATCTTATTACCAGTGACATTTAAATATTGATGAAATTTAAACATTTTAACCGCAGTTCTGATTCATGGACCATCAAAGAAAGCAGAGAACACAGGTGAAAGATGCAAGAATGTTTTCTTAAACACTCATGCCATGTGAAGGTTATTCCTGCATGATTTGAAAGATTTTAAATGGTTTCTTAAATAATTAACCATTAAAATTCTTATTTTGCTTGGTTGGCAGTTCACCAGCCATGCTTCGAGCTTTCCAGTGTGAAATAACAAGGGCAGTATGGGCCTTCCTGATCTAATTGCGGCACTGAAATTTCTCAGTTGTCATTAGCAAAGCGTTTGGAGCCCTGCTTCTTTAAATTGTCTGTTGAAACAACCAGAACCCTCAAAATCTAAGGAGATTCGAATCTAAGATAACTCACATGTACAAAGAATTAAGTGTTGTTATTCCCCATCCCTGTGCTGGTCATGGTTGTACAAAATTTATTAAGTCAGTTGTTATTATACTTATGTATATTCAGTTCAGCTGTAAGGAACAACCCTTTGAGATGACTACTTTACAGATCAGAATACTGTAACTCAGAGAAGCTAAGTAACTTGCCTGAAATCATACAGCTGGGACATAATAAAGCTAGGATTTGCACTTCGGTAAATCTGATCTCACAGCTGTGTTCTTTCTTTTGCATCACAAAAATGGTTAGTGCTTTATCTTAATAATAAATTAGTATTGTTTTCTCATTTTTGTCTATCCTATAAGGGGAAGCTCAGTGTTTTTGTCTTTTATCCTTTTTTAGGTCAGTAAAAGGTGTCTAATATGAGGAAGGATCAAAGAATTGATATCCTAGACTTAAAATATTTAATTATAGATGGTACAGCATCATTATGAAACACATAAGTATCAAATCTATAGGAAAAATAACCTAATAAAGCTATAGCATAGTGTTCTTCCTATGACCAATTTTGGTGTATTGACTTGAAATTGTACATGTTTGAAAGCTTATGGGTTGAAACAGTCTCTGATTTTCTTTGTATGTAGATTCAGGATCTACTAAAGGGGCAGTTTTGGGCAGATTTGAAGACTGATACTAAAACAGGTAATTCACCTTTTACATTCTAAAAGAGGAACAAATTTATTGACCACCTGTGACAGTATATTATCTATATCACCTATTACATGTACTATTTCATTTAGTTCTTCAATAAACTTCAATGAAGCAAGTATTATTTTAGAACATTTAATAATTAATAGTAAAAGCTACCAGTTATTATGTCAGCAATGCTTTAAGTTCTTTACTTGTGCTGTATCAGTGCAGACCCAGCAATAACAACTGTTTAGCACAGTCCAATGGAACTTTTCCAAGGGATTGGAAATGTACTATATTTTCACTGTCCTATATGGTAGTCACTAGACGCAAGTAGCCTTTGATTATTTGAAATGTGATTAGTACGACTGAGGAACTGAAATGTAAACATTTATTTTAGTCAATTGAAATTTTAGTTTAAATAGCCATTTGTTGCTATAACTACTATTCTGGACAATGCAGCCTTTGTCAAGAATATGCCCATTTTTCATAGGAAAAACTTGTTCAGAGAACCAGTTAAAAAACCGATTAAGAAACCTTGTCCATACAATTTTATAAAAACAAGTTTTTGAGCAGAAGAATGTTATAGGGATGTTAATTTGGCAATGCATACAAAATGAACGGAGGGGAAGAAGAAAAGCAGTTAAGCTGAGAGAATTGAGACTCTGATTTGAGGGGTTACACTGGGAACTAGGAGGAAGAATGGTTGCAAATGACTGGAGATAGAACCACTTAGTGACAGCATGTGAGGGCTTTGGAAGACAGAACCTAAGGTTACTTTGAGGTTTTAGAATCTAAAGCCTGGGAAAATGATAACACTGTTTACGGAAACAGAAAAATTATGAGCCTTTTTGGAGTTTGAGAGGATTTGGTTTTGGCTGTTTGCTCATTTTAAAATATTTATTGAGCAAGGCCCTTTGCTATGCTTAGGTAGAGAAGTGGAGTCCCCATTAAGGATTTTATCCACTTAAGACACTCTTCTACATTTTCATTCTGTGGAAGATAATGAGCTATGAGAGATGTGCAAATCCAGTGTTCTCTGAGGCAGATGCAAAGGGATTAGGGAAGGTGTTGTGAGTGGAAAATGGTATTTGAACTCTAGGAAGGATTTGGACATGCAGAAAGGATTAAATGAAGAGGAGGTTATGCTTCTAACAATGGGACGGTCTTGAAAATACCTTTTGCCAAAACACCTAAATGCTGAATAAATTATATTAGCCTTTTAAATGCATAGCAGGTCTTGTAGAAAAGAAAAGGAAATTCTTAGGGCTAAAAAGTCAAAGAGAGAGCTGAGACTAGAATAGAAAACTAGCCATGTGTCTCCATTGGGGAGGTTTGGCTGATAGCAGAAATGAAGCACAATTGGGGATAGGTGATAGGCTCTCCCTGCTTCACAGCAAAGTAGAGAGATAAAAATCATCTCCCTTTGACCTCCCAGGTGTACAGCTTCTAGAGGCACAGGTCATGTTGTGGTTGTACCTGTATTTTAGGGGATGACTTTTTCATAAAAAGTGAAAGGTAAACATTTCTACTTGTAATTGTACAACTCATGGCCTTGTATAAGCCCCTTTCCCCAAATTTAGCTAGAATCCTCAAAAAAATCTATACAAAATCAGTGAAAGGCGGGTCTGGAAAAATACCTCTTTCTTGGCGAAGGGAGATCACAAAGAAATTTAATCATTTTCACCATAGCTCTAGGTGGGGAAATAAAGGTACTACCTGAGAACAGAAACTGTTAATGGAGAACAGCACCAGGTGTTAGACCTTGGTCCTTGAGTTCGGCTAAGAAAAGAATTCAGAGCCAAACAACTAAAATACAAGTGAAAGTTTATTTAGAAAGTCACAGGGGTAGAAGAAGTGAGCCATGGAAGAAGTGAGCCATCAGGGCTGCATGGACTCAGGAAACAAGTTACAGAGGCAAAAAGAAGGGCCCTTGGAGCTTAGGAAAAAGAAAAGAAAGCACCACTGGGGGAAGAGGAGGAAGGGCGCAGGCATGCTCTAGAGAAAGAGTGAAAGTGCAAGCCTGCTGGGTCCTTCCTCATCTTTGGATGTTGTTGTTGTTAATCCTCACCCAAGGATATTTTTCTATTGATTTTAGATAGAGTGGGGGGTGGGGGCGGGGGGAGAGGGGAGAGAGAAAGAAAAATCAATGTGAGAGAGATACATCAATTGGTTGCCTCCTGGAAGGACCCAGGCCGGGGATCGAACCTGCAATTCAGGTATGTGCCCTTGACCAGGAATCAAACCTGAGATGACCCTTTGGGGACTGGCCAGGGCTGGGTCCTTTCTCTTAAGGGCTTTTACCTGGAGGTCTCCAGGGAGGATCTTAATAGAATGTTCATCAGCTATCCAGGTGTGTTTCCTCAGGGTCAAGAATTGGAAGTGCCAGGGCAGGGGAACACTAGTCATCAGAGCTGGTCCTAATGTCAGCCATGGTGTTTCCTTGCCTAGCCTTGCTGCTTGTCTGGGCCTGGAGTTGATACACAACTAAGATCTAGATGTTATCTCTCATTTGACCCAAAACTATGTCTCTGTGGTCAGTGAACCTGAGGCTTTGTTACTAAGATTATTTGATGTGGGTCAGAACCTCATTGTCTTGAAGGCTTAATGCTTAAGGGAAGCGGTCATGCAAGAGCTGTATGGGAGTCCTATGAGGCTTTTCTCCAGCCCTCTTGTTCTTCCTCTAAGGAGGTCTACCACATGACTAGCAATATGCCAAGGGAAGGTCTGGAGCATGACCTTCCATATGAAAGGTTGGGGGTGGGGAGGGTGTTCAAAAATGCTAGACTGGTGATGTGCTATAGGAGGAAAGGTCACCCTGGAGGCAAGGTCCCACCCTATAATACATGTCCTTCCAGTTCTGCCTGTTGCTAGATATCCAGGGCTTTCCACCCTGGTGACCTTCTGTACCTGGCTTACTGTTCCTGCTCTGCTCATGTCTCTCTCGCTGCCTACTATATCAAAATTGCAGGGTCTGCCATCACCCAGACTCAAGATTCAAACTGACACATCTGCATGGGCTAAAAACCTGGAAGCCAAGAAAATAAAGTTGTGCCAGGTTGGTAACATGTCAGAGTACCTAGCAAAAATGAATACAGACCCTCCCTGGAATGGTTCACCCTTAATTTCATCCTTTTAAGATACTCCCAATTAAACTTATTCCCCCAAACCGTAAAACTCATGTGAAAAGGTTAGCAGAACAACACATGTACTAGACTCCTAAGGATTTTAGATTAGAATTACCAGAAACAAGTTTAAATAACGTTAAAAAAGATAAAAGGGGAAAAATTAAAGATTTTAGAAGTGCTATCGTTCAACATTTATAGAAATTGAGAATTACTGTCCCAGAAACTTATGCTGGGGAAAGCACTGTATGAATTTAGTGAGGAATTGTCATGATTAACTGAATAGATGAAGAAAATTGATGGAATGTTAAGGACTCACAAGGGATAAAATGACAGGAAGGAAGAGATTATTATTCAGACAGGAAATTACTCAAATCTATAATGGTGCCTTTAGGGACAAAGGAAAAGAAACTCACTTGGCAAGATTTAAATATCCATATTTAGCAATGAGTCAGATGATCAGAATAAATGACAAGTACAAGTCAATAATGGCTGAGATTTCATTTTTTGGAAAGACAATTTGAGATGAGGAAGCTGAGCACATTGGCGATAAGATTGTAAGTTTTTACAAAATTCATGGGAAATGATAAATTTCTTATAATTTGAAAATGTTTCTATATTTATTTTTAAAAATTAAATGCAGGAAGAGACAGTTATATTTTCTAATTCACATTATTAACCCATTATTACTTACCAACATCCTCAGTCTGGAATGTAAGGAAGAAAGTGGTAATGTGTGGTCTCTGTGTATTTATGTTCTCTCTCTTTTGCCCCCATCACACAGGAGCTGGAAATATAATGGTGAACAAAACAGTTGGTTCCTGCTCTCACAGAACTTAAAGTTTAGTGAGGAAGATAAAACCAAACAAGCAAGTAACAGTTAAGTGTTGTGAGTGTCCTGGTGGGGAAGTAAAGGGTGCTGTTGGGAACAAAGCAAGGATACTCAGGTGAAGGAGAAGAGTTGAGACTTGAGTATGTGTAGGGGTTAACCGGCAGTCGTGGGGAGGGAGGGGTGATAGCACTGTAGTCTACTCGTCCAGACAATACAGTGTGCATGAAAGTCTGAAGGTGCCCAAGAGAGCATGACACGTTTGAAGATATGAAAGAAGTTCTCTGTGGCCGTATAGCGTAGTGACTGGTATGGAACTGCCTCAATTTGAATCCTGTCTCTATCTCCCCAGGACCTTGGGCAGTTCTCCTAACCTCTATAATTCTGTTGTGAGGAGTACATGAGATCATGTATTAAAAGTGCTTAGTGCCCAGTCAGTGTGGCTCAGTGGATTGAATGTCATCCCATGGACTGAAAGGTCCCGGTTTGATTCCCGATCAGGGCACAAGCGTAGGTTGTGGGCTTGATCCCCAGTAGGGGGCGTTCAGGAGGCAGCCAATCGATGTTTCTCTCTCCCTTACTCTCTCTATAAATTCAGTTAAAAAACATATTAACCCCCCCCCCCCCAAGTGCTTAGTAACATTGCTGATACAGAGTAAACACTGTGTTTACTTCTGTAATGATGATGAAGATGATCAAGGAACTGGGAGCAGACAGAGTGGCCAGAGGGGAATATAAAAAGTAAGTAGAGATCAGACAATGCAAGGACCTTATAGACCATGTTACGGAGGAGCAAATGTTTATAAGGGTGGGGGGAAGCACTGAAAGATTCTTGGTAGGAGAAGGTGGTCTGATTGGTATTGTAGAATTAGTAGGCTCACTCTGGTTTTAGGGTGGAGTCTAGATTTGTTGTGGTCCATTCTAGAGGAGGACCATTTAGTAGATTATAATAATAGGCTGGCCAAGAAATGATGATAGTTTAGGGAGAATACTGGCAGTGAAGATGGATAGAAGAAGTAAATTTTAAGGAAATTTAGGAGGTGGACTAAACAGTACTTGGTACTTAATTTTGTGTGGAAGGATGGGAGAGAGAGAACATTTCTGGATATGGCAAGTGGGTGAATCTTGGTTTCATTTACTGAAAAATCAAAGGAGAGCGGGATTAGTAAATGGTGTAGGGGATGATTTCAGGAGTGGGGCGGCTCAGGGTGATAAGTGCAAGGTTGGGGGAGTGGACGACCAAAGTAGAATAGATGAAGTACTTGTGAATTATCTTGTCTGATTTGTTCTTTTCTACTTCAGAAGACCTGTTTGAGATGTGGTGGTTCCAACAAGGCCTCAGTTTCCTTCCTTCAGCCCTTGTAATTTGGACAGCGGCCGCTTTCATATTTTCATACATTACTGCCATAACTCTCCACCATGTTGACCCTGCTTTGCCTTATATCAGGTTAGTGAAATATATTTTATAGAAGAATGTTTATGTCTCATTCATATTTTAACATTGAAGCCAAGATGTAACGTAAGCATTTTAAAATTCAAATTTTATGTGTGGTGGTACAGTGATAAGAGGAACATGATAAGGAAGGTGTATTTGACTCTTTCTATATGTAGAGAAATGTAGAGACAGAGGGCTAAGATTCAGTGGGAGAATTGCTTAGTGAATGGTGACACTTCAGTGCCTTGTCCTCCACATAATTATCTGAAGTCCTCTCAGGAGATAGGATTGGAGTTACCCCTTAAAATTAAAAAAAATTGCTACAGATAACAATAATATTAAAAGATAATAGTAGTGACAAACATTTGTTGATCTACTTACTATGTACAAGGTAATGTTCTAAGCATTCTTCAGGTCTTAAATAATTGAGTCCCTACAGCCACCCTTTAAGGCAGGAACATTTATTTATTTATTTATTTATTTATTTATTTTTATCTTCACCTGAGGACATTTTTCCATATTTTGTTCAGATAGAGTGGGCGGGGGAGAGAGAGAGAGAGAGAGAGAGAGAAACATCGACGTGAAAGGGACACATTGAGTGGTTGCCACCCGCGTGACCCAACCAGGGCCGGGGACAAACTGCAACCGAGGTACATGCCCTTAGTGGGAACTGAACCCAGGTCTCTCTGGACCGCAGGCCGACGCTCTAACCGCTGAGCCAAACCGGCCAGGGCAAGGCAGGAACATTTAAAGAAATGAGGTCCAGGAAGGTTAAGTTATTTGTTTAAAGGCACACAGCTCAGTAAGTGATGGAACTAAGATTCAATGTGACTAGGCAATTTGACTCTAGAGGTCATGCTCTTCTTATACATGTTGGCTACATCTTTCTGACACATTAAGTATCAAAATTTATCGCTAATATTTTTGAAACTTCAAAAATGCTAACGATAATAAGTATAGGTACTCAATTTTATGTATGTCCATAACCCTTTTTTTTCCAATTACCAAGGCAATGTATGCTTATTATAACACATTTTAAACCATACTAGAGTGATTACAAAAGCAAAAATTTGACCTCCCCTTCTGACCTCCCCTCAGTTCCTGTCTCCACACATGTGATTAATGGTTTGGTGGATCGCCTTCCAGAGTTTGGCCTGTTTTGGTGGTGTTAGAGTTGTTTCATTTATTAATTTGTTTACCTTCTGAAAAAGTAACCTTGTAAAGGATGATAAACCAAAAGGCTAAAGGTGTTTTTTACAAATGGTATGGAACAAAGATTATCAACAAGTTGGGTGCACTGAGGGAAGATTTACAAAACCCAAAGGTATTTTTTTATTTAAGGTTGCAATTCTAGGGATAATTTGATCAATAATCATTAATGTTTACTACTCTGCTAGAGGCACATGTAGGTTAAGGAGCCAGTTCATTCTTTAGTAACTCCAAGGGAAGATACATATAGAAGATCATGAGAATTTTTCAGCATTTTTATTTCCTCTCTGAGAACTTGTCTGCTTTCATTTTAAAGAGCTTAAATAATTTAAGAGGCCATTTGGGTTCTTCTTCAGTTTCAGTTCTCTGATGGTAATGCATGTGATTTTCTGACCAATAGTCCCCTAGACACTTCCTTTCCTGTCCCCGTCCTGTCTTTTTCTTTCTCTGCTAATGAACTTAGTATTATTACCCTAGGTTCTTTCCCCAATATCTTAATATATTTAAATTCAGTGGTACTTATTTTGACTTCTCTTAAGCTCATTTCCTTCATCTGAAAAATGATTGTCAAACTAGTTCCTTTCAGTTCAGAAACCCTAACTAAATGGTTTGTTATAGCTGCAAAGGGCATAACCGAAAGTAAATTTCACTTCAAAGACAAATGTACTGAAAGTTGGCTTTGGATGTTGTTTAGGTTCAAGTAGTGGATGCCCAAGCGGGGTACATGAGACTAGTCACGAGTATGAGGAGAAATTATTAGAACTTTTCGGTATATTTTTAAAATCTCAAAATATTTAAACTTAAGTGTAATATGTGTATAATAGTCATACATATATTTTGAAGTTACATGATCAGACATTTTTTTATGGTGTATAATCAAGTTAGTGTGCTGACCCTGTGGTTGAAAGGCTGTGTTGGTGAGGTGATGGGCATGGCTGTTTTCACTGAGGGCAGTTTGTGTGCCAGAGCCACAGAGGAGCCCCTTAGTTAGCCAGCTTGGAACTGCATGCTTTTGTTTACTTTTGGGGCAATCCAAAACGAGCATCATTTGGAGTTTGACTATTAAAATTGTGTGTTTTTTTTTCTCCTGATTTTAAGAATAATATGTATACATTATTCTTGAAAACTTGAAAGGTAGAAGAAACAGCAACAAAAAGTCACAGTCCCCACTTCCTGAACATGATCAAAGAGTAATAGAATCTTTTATATCTGAAGATACATTTTAGAGTAAGAAGGAGCAGGCCTTCCAATTCATATTGGATACTTTACTTTTTGTAAATGTAATCCAAGTGTTCACCAAATCTTCCCGATTCCTTACCAGAATGACTTTCCAATTCCTTTTTTATTTTCATTACATTGTCTTATTTGAGATCCTTATCGACTCTTTCCTACAGTACTTCAATTTGAGGTCAAAGACTTTGTCTCTTTAACCTTTACCGTAGTTTGAGGGAAGGGAAAGGAAGTAACATTTAATGGGTCTCCTGCATGTGTCTGCTACTCTGAGAGACATTTTACACGCATTCCCACAGTTTCAGTTCCTCGTGTCCATGGCATGAGGCTGGTAGGAGGTTAATAGCTCCATTTTGCAGATAGTCTTAGGGAGATAAAGGAACACACCCATGGCTCCACACTTAGTAAATGGTGGGCCCTTGATCTGGATCTGTGTACACCACACCACCCTGAAAGAAAGGCATGGTAATGCACTGTGGTAGCTGCTTTTAATAGAAGTCTGGACAGAATGCTGTGTGCGTCAGCATTCTGCTAGAAGATTGCTCAAGGCCAGAGAGGAGAGGGCTCAAACCTGGTCTTGAATGGAAGCTCCAGAAGGCCAAAGGCTTTTTCTCCTTTACTTACCACTATATTCCTGTCCCTAAAATGCTGTCTGGGCCAGGGTAGGTGCTTGATAAATATTTTTGTATTAATCAGGAAATGATGAGGTGGTAATTGAGTTATAGGCAGAGTCAACAGCAGATAACAAAAGACAGAGTTGTGAAAGAACCTGTGATGTTTAGAGAATATTCAGGAGAGAGAGAGATGAACATATCCGCCTGACTGATGTAAGGCGGTAGCATATCCTTAACATGCCAAGGATAGCTTTTTTTAAAAAATCAATTTACATTGACTTCTCTTATGTGAAAAAATAATCTTAAGTGATGTGACAAAAAGTGAACTAGGCAAATATTGTGAACTCAAATTGTCATGTTCCATTATGAAATAATAAGAGCGGAACCCATGGATTTATAAAAAGATAAAGGACTTGTAAAACTAGTGTCAGAAATCCACAAACTTTTTTTTTCTTTCAGTGACACTGGTACCATCGCTCCAGAAAAGTGCTTGTTTGGGGCAATGTTAAATTTCGCTGCAGTTTTATGTAAGTAATGTGGATTATCTTAATGATCAAAATTAATAGCTAAATTGCCCCTTCCTTCTTTAGACAACATTGTGTTTCTTGTTTTACTTTTCAGTTACTGTACTTGAGGGATGTTATCACTAAATTATCTGTCACAGATATGTTCCTTTTAAAAGAAAAACAATTTCTAGAAATGCTGAATTATGGAAATAAATCTTTTAAAAAATCGATAGGGCTATTTGACTACTCATTCAAACACAAGTTGTAGCCCTGGCCAGTTTGCTCAGCGGTTAGAGCATTGACCCGAGGACCAAAGGGTCATGGGTTTGATCCCCGGCCTGGGTCAGGGTTGTGCAGGAGGCACCCAATTGATGTGTCTCTGTCACATCAATAGTTCTCTCTCCTTCTCTCCTTTCCACTCTGTCTAAAAAATCAATGGAAAAATATCCTCAGGTGAGGATTAACAAAAACAAATAAATAAACAAATACAAGTTGTAAAGTATAACCAAATATTCCTTGAGAGGGTGGTGGATTTCTTAAGCAATCAGTAGAGGGTAAAGAGCTGTCAGTGCACTGACCACAGCTAACCCAAACTAAATTCTTTAGGATAAATAATTTAGAAGTTTGAGAATAGCAGTGGAACCATGTTTTTGATTTTTAACCGATATTCTAATGCCAAAGGAATGGCGTTCCGCTGCAGTATTCTACATTCGTATTACTAATTTTCTAAACCAAATTTTATTAATGGTTTACTAAAGTATCATTTTTTTCCACCAAATATGATTATTTTCATACTTTAAGTCAAAAATTAAACTCAAGTAAATGATTCAATATATGACTAAAGTTTTCAAAAACATGTTTACAAAAGCATATCTCTGCTACATGGTCTGTACTGTTGTGTTCTTTGGCAATATTTTTGCAATGGAAAGTTTGATTTGGCCCTTTTTTGACTAATAAGAAAAAAAGGAAAATCTATGTTTCTGGATAGCAGTGACCTTTGTGTAGTTTTATTGGCATCTTTATTTCTTGGTTATTTATTACTTGTTTGTTGGATTCTCTCTTTCTCAGGCGTTGCTACCATTTACGTTCGTTATAAGCAAGTTCATGCTCTGAATCCTGAAGGGAAATATATCACCAAGTTAAACAAGGCTGGCCTGGTACTTGGATTGCTGAGTTGTTTGGGACTTTCTTTTGTGGCAAACTTCCAGGTTTGTGTTTTAACCCAGCATAGATATTTTCCTGAGGTATCCGAATACACATATGACAAGAACACTTGAATCATTCAGTTACATGCTGTTATTGTTTCTTTGCCTTAACAAAATAGAATCCACTGCTTTGAAATTATTTGATCCTTTTAGAAATAGCTACATTCACAATTAGAAAATGTTATTCTCAGTAATCTCTCGACCAAATGTAAATTATTCTATCATTTTAAGGATCTGTAGGACTCTGTTTATTGGACTCTTTATTACTTCTTAGTTGGAGATTAATCTGAGACCAGAGAAAATTGATATAAGTGACATAATTACATATTTAAACTATTTTTATTATTTTTAATATGCCTGACAAGTTACACTCATTTATTTATTTTTTATTCGTATTTATTCCATTGATCAGCTGTATTCCTAGGTGCTCAGCCCTTAGAAGAGGAGGGATCTGTAGCTCTTTCACCTTTTTCTCAGGAATTCTTAATGTAAAAGTAGCAGTCAGCCTTCCCCAAATATTTGCACACTGTCCACATTCCTTTCTATCGATGTTCTTTCAGATAAGCCTTTGGTACTACCTGAACCTGTGGTGCTTTTTAATTAATCTCTCTACAATCTTTAAAGTTTCCATTTAGACATTTGATAACCTAGTTAGACATCTAATAACTAGTCAGACTTAAAAGCACACATCATACTTCCCTGGCCAGTGTGACTCAGTTGGTTGAAGCATTGTCCCATACACCAGCAGGTCACAGGTTGATTCCCAGTCAGGGCGCAAATCTAGGTTGTGGGTTCGATCTCAGCCTGGATCTCAGCGTGTGTGGGAGGCAACTAATCAATGTTTCTCTCTCACATTGATGTTTTTCTCTCCCTCTTTCCGTCTCTCCTCCTTTCCCTGTCTCTAAAAAAAATCAGTGAAAATGTCCTTGGTTGAAGATTAAAAAAATAAAAACAAAAAAACACACATCATGCATGCACATACATATATTAGAGGCATATTCTGTCTCTCTTATTCAAAATTCTTCATTCCAATAATGCTTCATTCCAATTGGTTTCTTTTATTTTTCAGTATCTTAGTAATGGTTAACACTAGTAATTTCTGTAAGTATAATCCAGGTGGATGCTAGATTGCTGCAATTACAAAGCCCAGAATTCCAGTGTCTTAACACAATAGAAGTTTATTTTATACATACATGCTTCCACAGGGTGTGGACAACACAGACAGTAAGAAAGGGAATGGTGCAGAATGAGGCTGGAGAGATAGACAGCAGCCTACTGTACACTACCTTTGAGTTAATGAAACAGTTTGGCAGTTTCTCAAATTACTTTTTCTGTCTTGATTGTATCTCTGTTCATGCATCTTTGGACCTGTAGAACTTTGAGCAGGTAACAGTGTCATTCTGCATCATTCTTCTTCCTATTGTCTCCATTGTACATACACTGGCCTTTGTTCCTTAACTAAGACAAGTGTACATAATTCCATTTCATATGTTTTTTCTTTGTTGGACATGACACAGTCCCAAATTTGAATATATTTAGGCATCTTTCAGATCTCACTACATTCCTGTTGCTAGACTTTCTCCTATAGATTTCAAGTTTTCTTTCTTTGTGTTCTCCAAACCTCTGGAAATTAATTCTTCATAGTGCTTATGATAGTCTAATTTTATATCTGTGTTTTTAAAATTTTTTATTTAAAAAATTTTAGTCAATATACTTCTCCATTAATTACAAGCACAGTGGTTTTATTCACTGTTGTATATTCAGCACCTAACATAGTACTTAGCACAAACATGCTCTTATTAAACATTTAGTAACTAAGTTACTGAGAGAGGCCAAAGGGACTAAGCAGAATGGATAAAAAATTATCTTACTATTACTGTAATTATCTGCATTTAAAGGGACCTAATTATTGTCCTGGCCGGTTTGGCTCAGCGGTTAGAGTGTTGGCCTGCAGACCAGAGAGTCCCGGGTTTAATTCCCACTAAGGGCAAGTACCTCAGTTGCGGTTTGTCCCTGGCCCTGGTTGAAGTCATGTGGGTGACAACCAGTCGATGTGTCTCTTTCATGTCGATGTTTCTCTCTCTCTCTTCCTCCCTCTCTCCTGTTCTATCTGAAGATAAATGCAAAAAAAAAAAAAAAAAAAAAGAGAGAGAGAGAGACCTAATTATTAATATGGTATTTGAAAAATCTGACTTAATACAGATTTAATTACTTTGAAAACAAGTATGTATGATAATAATCAACAAAACAAATATGTGGTAAATGTACTCAGTGCCTACTTAGAAGACTTTTTCTCTTCTAGGAAATTATCCTCAAGGAAACTTGGAAGGGATAAGTAGGAAGAAATCTATGTTAATTTCCTAGAGCTACTATAACAAAACACCACAAACCAGTTTTGTATATCTCTGTTCTAATTAGAAAAATATAGCACTAAATGCTCTCCATTCTTTATTTTTGCTTTTTAATTCACAGGATTTTGCTGATATGACTGTGTCCTGACCATAGTGGACATTGGTCAGGCTATATCTGTATTTAGCTTCATCAGTATATGTGAGAATATTTTCAAGGGAAAAATTAATCCATTCTCCTGTTCTTATCCCTAACCTAATTAATTTCATTTTTGCTTATATTTTTCCAGCCTTTAGCCATAATGTATAGATAAATACACATAATTATGAACTAGGAAAATGCTGCTGTTTTGTATTACATTCTATGGATGCGGAATGTTTTTTTATACAAAGTGGTAATGACAAAACATTTTGTTCTTTCCTTAGTGCTTATAATGTATTTATTTTAACACCCAAAACCACATTGAAGTCACCCTTTCTCTCGCTAAAAGGAAACCAGTGACTTTGGCAAATAAGTTGTTATATTTTACTTCTTTGTACTGGAAACTTTCTATATCTTCAACTAAGAACACTGGATTCTGTGTTTGTGATTAGCACCTTGATTGTAAAATGAGAGAACCAAGCCCTGACGTCTGTTGTTCTTTTGATCAGACCCTCTGCCAGGCACTGCACTGAGTACCTTCTCAACGAGCTGAAACACACAGTGTCTGTTTAGAAAAATAGACTGGTTTAAAGGAAGACTTTTGATGGTAGAATTTTTAGACAGCTACTGTCATCACATTTTAAGCAGAGGGCATTACAGTAAAAAGTAAAGTGTAAATGGATACTGATGAGAAGAAGGTAAAGGACAAAAAAATTGCAATTTATGATAATCCCTTGTTGCATAATTTATCAAAACCAATCAAACTAGAGCCAAGAGAGGGAATGTTTTAATTTTTTGAGCCTTTACATTGTATTTAGATTTAAGTTAAATTTAAATAGAAACTTTTTATCCCCCCTTCTTCCCAACCATCCTAATCTTTACCTTGTACTCTTCTTCTCTAACCCTTATGACCATCTAACATAATCTGGAATTTACTTATTTCTAAGGTTTATTATGTATTGTTTGCGCTGCTTCACTTGAATGTAAACCCCAAGGGCCAGGTTTTTATTTGTTTGTTTTCTTCACTAATATATTTGAGTACTAAACAGTGGTTGACATAGAAGAGGCACCTAAATAAAAAAACATATCAAATGGATAAATAATTACTATTCTATTTTTAGTAGTGGCCTATGAAATAATTTGAGTTACTGCAGTCCACAGGTTTATGAAAGAAAATGACCTCAGGAAGTAATTTGTAGACTCTGCGGAGGTTTTCCACTTAGTGAATGTCCCATTGAAATCTCTGGTTTGCACTTTTAAATGCTGTATTGACAATGTGTGTTCAGTTTCTTTTATTTTTTATTTCTTCTTTCTACCTCTCAGAAAACAACCTTTTTTTCTGTACATATATGTGGAGCTGTGCTCACCTTTGGTATGGGCTCATTGTACATGTTTGTTCAGACCATCCTTTCCTACCAAATGCAGCCCAAAATTCATGGCAAACAGGTCTTCTGGATCAGACTACTGCTGGTCATCTGGTGTGGAGTAAGTGCATTTAGCAGTATCCTTTGCTGTAAAACGTGGCTACACTTGGAAGAGGATGGAATGATGAAATTTAAGTGAGCGCTGTTGGCATATTGTGAGCAGTCCTTTTGTGAACAGTGAGATTCTTGGGTTAGTAACCCTAAATTCAAGGATTTAAAACATGAAATTCAAATTGTTCCCAGGACCTCAGTAACTGAGCTAGGAACAAGGATAATTATGCTCACTTCAATGTTATGAGTGAGTTAATGCCTTCCCTGAGGACAGTTATGTAGCAGAAGCTTGTGATAGGAGTGCGGGATTACTGAGCAGAGGGGAGTTGACTGTGGGAACCATTTCATAGTGATCTTCTGGGCACATTTAGAAGTTTCCTACTGCCATGGAACATGACATCTTTAAGAAGATGGGTTTGGACCTTGGAAACAAATATATGAGTAATCCTTTTGGACCTTTAAGGAAATTTTTGTTTTGAATCTAATTTAAACTTACAGCTCCTCTCTGAGAATTCTCCTTGACTGGCGTTTCTCATAGTGCTGACTTGCTCATCGCTCCTGTACAGTGGCAGTTTTGGCTCAAATGTGGTACAGAAACTCCACTGGAACCCCCAGGACAAAGTAAGAACTTAGAGTCTTAAAAACTTAGTTTTATATTAAAGATGACTATTTTGATGTGCTTTTCACTAACAAAGAAACCTTGTCAGCAGAATAATCAGTTATGTATTAGGATTATTTTTTATATATGATAGAGTTCATGTAGAATCATCCATATTCTCCTGTCACCTGTGGTCTGTGGACATTTTTGAGACATGAATGGAATTGTGATGGCAGAGAGTTTTCTCAGAAATTGGCTCCTCAAAACAAGGATATAGTATACAATAAGTCCAACTGAGATCTTTTGTTATTAGAATACTTATTTTCTGAATTGAAAAAATGTCTTTCTTCACCTTCTGTTGCCTGGAAATGTATAATTTATCTGTTTTTACGAACCACTGAGTGGCATTTTATTTTAAATTATTTTTAAAGAATCAATCCTAATAGGACATGTTTGTGGAAATGAATGAATGAAATAATTTATTAGATTCTTTGAAGTATAATTCTCATATTAATGCTTTAAAAATAACACTGCGTTTTCATGAGCATTGTTTAGGTTTTTCTTGATGAATCTGTGGCTTTGGGAAAGGCAGTAACTTCTTGATTGTAAAGTAGAAGTTCTCCTGTCTTAGTTATTCAAATGGAACTTTTATGTGCTCTAGATAAAACTATGATAGCTAGATCACCTAGGAGGACTTTCCTAATGTTTTCCTTTAATACTCAAGATATGTGAAAAATAATCATGGGTTTTTTATTTGAGAGAAGTTATAGACCATTTGCATGACATTTTACAGAATTATTCTTTTATTTTCATTGTCACTCAAGGGTTATGTGCTTCATATGATCACTACTGCAGCAGAATGGTCTATGTCATGTTCCTTCTTTGGTTTTTTCCTCACTTATATCCGTGATTTTCAGGTAAGAAATGACATAATTACATTTATGCGGTCAAACTTTAGGTGGAATATGAGAACTTTCTAACAGCAAGTCTCCAACCTTTTGAAAATTAACTTCATGAGCAGTGATGCCAGAAGAGAAACTCTTCACATGAGTTGTTTCTGTGTTTGCAGAAGTAGTGTATTGCTAGCAAGATTCAGCTTTGAAAATTGTATTGTAAAAACAATTGCATTTGTAGAAATTCTTCTACAGAATTTTCATCAACTCTGCTTAATGTGCATTGGTCATCCTCACATTTAGTTTTACTGATTCTTCATAGAAATGAAAGAAAAACAAAGATCTGAATAGAGAAGCTTGGTTTTCACAGCTCTATTAGTACAACAGCTATCTCGTTCTTGTTACTCAGTAGAATTGATTTATATTCCTAATCTCAAAAGATATTCTTCAGAACAATTGAAGATGTGATCTGTCATTAAGGAGCACATTTCTATATGTAATTTTCTTTTCTGTTCCAGAAAATTTCCTTACGGGTGGAAGCCAATTTACACGGATTAACCCTCTATGACACTGCTCCCTGTCCTATTGACAATGAACGAACACATCTACTTTCCAAAGAATTTTAATGAAAGAATAAAATAGTTCTGTGATGATTATGATTCTCAGGGATTGAGGAAAACATTCATAAGTTACTTCTTCTGCTCTGAAATTGTCCACCAATTAATCAAGGCTGAGAGTGACATTTATGAGTCCTGATAACCAAGAGACATGAAGTAAACCATGTGATAAATTATTTTAAAGGGTATCTTCAAGAGGATCATGTAAAAACATTTATGCCTACACATTTTTGTAAATCCCAGAAAAAAACGACTCTATAGCACTGTAGATTTTCTTCTATTTTATTTATATGAAACACCAGAAGTACACCAAGCAGTCTGCAGAATGTTTTAGAAATTATTGTAAAGCATGTTTTGTTTGGAGCACTTTTATGCAAGGCATTTTCCAGCACACTGAATAATCAGCATTGCTCAGCAGTTCCTTTAGAATTGGGTTTTGAGGTAATAATTTTACCATGTTAATACATTTCTTATAGTCTTTTAAATTTTTTTTCTGGAATCCACCTATAAAGGGATTCATGTGAACCCTGAATTCATGTGAACACTGTCTTTGCTTAAACTTTGCACAAAAGATTTTGGTGCTATTGATTTGATTCCTGCCACAAGGCCAGATATTACACTAACTGGTCTGTTATACATGGTTGCAATAAGTTCATGAAGCTTAGTCTCTGGTATGAGATTTTAATAAAAAATGAGAGAAGTAACTATAAATTTAATCATGTCTTACATAAAACAAAGCTTTGTTAGTGTGCATTCACAAGGCTGAGAAGTTTGTGAATAACAGCAGGTATCATTAATAAAAGTTATCTTAAACTGCAGTCGAGATTTTTAGATTTTTTTTTTTTTTACAGCAAATTATAATTACTTGTAAAAATAGACTTGAACAGGCAATATTGAACCTTTTTACTGGGATGTGATCTTTGTAGAACTCAAATTCTAAAGGACAAAATGAGCAATTTAAAAAAACTAGGTACAAAATAATTGTGATACATACATCTTTCTGGTCATGCAAGTGGTTGGATAGCTTGTACCTGAATCCTTGTCTATGCAGATAAAGAATGTTTTAGAGATCCCAGATAAAATTCAAAAGAAGAAAATGCTTATCTGGAAGGTGCCCCCTGGCAAACTAGTTTGCAAAATAATCCTTGAAGAAGATTAACAAGCTTTATCTTTTTAGAAGAAATGGTTTTACAGCCAGAATAAAAGATGGAGAGAACAAATTTAAAGTGTAAGAGAAAGAAATTTAAGGGAAATGGTTATATGGTGGAACCAGAGAGCTTGATCATGAATAAGTTGCTAGTATAGGACTAAATAATATTTCTGAAAACTTTTGGACCAAGACAAAATGGAATAAAATACTGTTTATATAAAGCAGCAGTGAACATGGGAGACATTTCAATAAACATTGATCGATTGGCATCACCCGAAAAAAATGTGGGTACAAAGTTTAAAAATTTTTTCTCTGCAAACATAGTGTGGCCACCTCTTGGAAACAGCATCCAGTCCTGATTGCTATATATCAAGCAAACTGTAATTCAATTATGAAGACCACAGTATGATGAGGGGGAAATTGATAAAAATCAAAGTTCATAAAATTATAAATTATGTGTGGGTAAGATGGCACAGGGGAGAATGTGGACTTGTATGTTCACACTAGATTATCAGGCTTAGAGAAATACATTCATGAAACCAAGTGGCGATGTTCGGGTTTGTTGTCTCACAAATTGAAGAATGAATTTACGGACCAAGGGTAAGCAAAAGGAAAGTTTCTTTGAACGATAGATTCCCCGCAGCAGGGAGGGGACTCAAGTAGGTTGCTCGTGGGGCTTTGTTGTCTAGGGGTAGATAGATACTTTGCTAGTCTCTGATTGGTCCGTTCAAGAAATTCTGCCTTAGCAACATCCGTGCATTAAAGGTTGTGTTTCCCACCTGACTGGGTTCAGCTCTTGGTCATCTATAGGGGCCTTTATAATAATTTCAACTCTCAGACTATTAGTGAGAAGGAGGGGAAACACCCTTGGAGCAACTCTATGCTTGCTTTTGGTTTCTCCCCCAAACCCAACCTTGGTTTCCTATAATCCCTTTTTTTAAATCCTCACTCAGGACATTTTTCCATTTTTTTGTTCAGATAGAATGGGAGGGGGTGGGGGGAGAGAGAGAGAGAGAGAATCATCGATGTGAAAGGGACACTTTAGGTGGCTGCCACCCACATGACCCAACCAGGGCCGGGGACAAACAACCGAGGTACATGCCCCTATTGGGAACCGAACCGGGTCTCTCTGGACCTCAGGCCAATGCTCTAACCACGGAGCAAACCGGCCAGGGCTCCTATAATTCCCTTTAAGGTGATCTGGCTTCTGCAATAGGAAGACATAGCAAGACTCATTTAGCAATCCTGTTGCCTTGCTCCCAGAAACCAGTACGTATATTAATTGGAATAGGTCACAATCACCAGCACTACATTCTTTAACAATTAATAAAATTCCTTTGCAAACCCAGAAAAGGAACTATACAATCAATTGCTGTTCCACTTCTTGCAGGAAACTAGTCTTTCTGGTTTTTGTTGTTGTTATGTAATTGACTTGTGCTCCTTCTAGGAGCTTCTAATTTGCATTTCTGTAAACGGGAGTTTCTGTCCTTGGAGGCAGAATTTGTCATGTTGATTTTTGTTTTGAGATCTGTAGAGTCCAACTAAACTTCTAGATGTACTGTGTACTGTGTTGCCTGCCTGTGTGCTGAGCCCCAATTCCTCTCTAACTTCCCCATGTCTCAGCCTTCCCTTCCCATAGTCCCGTCCATCACTGCCTAACCAGCATCTATCTCCTCGGTAACATTAAATAAATTATTTTAAAACTAATAAATTACTTTGATAATGTTTTAATTCATTATTTCACTTTTACCCTTAGAAATAACAGGCTCAAAATATTAATAAGTTTGAAAAGGGATTATAATTAGAAATTTTGAATATGTGTTTATCCCTCACCTTAAGGCTGAAGTGAATACACTCCTTCAAAATATACCTTGTCCCCACTGTGAGATACAGTAGATTGGATGAAAAAATGAGGCACTTTTCTTAGTTAACATTCCCATATTGAATGTTTAGCTATAAGAATAAGAGGTTTTAAGCTGACAAAATTAGCAGATACTTTGATAGTGAAAATCTATTTCTTTTGACAGCAAGATGACATTTCCCAGACTTCCTTTCAATTTAAGAATAGGCATGAGACTGAATTATAGCTGGTAAAATATAAATGAAATGGATGTGTTTGAAAAACAAGAATGCTCTTTCCCATTTTTTTTTTTTATCCTTATGTCAGTTGGCTATTGATTGGATAAACAATATTTTAAGAGATGCCACCTTCACATGGTAGAAGGACCCTGCATAGTCCACTTTTAACCAGATTTTAGAAAATCAAGAGATCTAATATAATTTAGGAACTCTGTTTTTATCCTTCCCAGTTCCTAAGGTTATATTGTATATTTCTAGAACAGTGTCATGTATTGTAAATGCTTGATGGATTTATGAAAGACAGCTTTTCTTTTCTGTGGTGTCCTGTAAACACTGAAGTGAACTTCAGTTGTTACCGGCTTCTTAGTGTCCTTATAAATCCATGATGTACATTTTTGCCTCTTTTAATCAGCCAGAGTGCTGGGCTTAGAAAGAATGTACTCATTTATAAGGAAGAACATTTCTGAGGCATCGTCAGTCTTAACAGTGTAAGCAGTTCTGTTTTCCAAAGGGCATGGTAATTTGGAAGATTTTACCTATTCAGGAAGCCTGAGTAGAATCAGAGAGGATACCTGAAATTCAGCTCAGCTGAAAAGCACAAAAAATTTTACAAAAATCTAACGAAATCTCAGATCCCAGTCCCTGCTGAAAGAAAATATGTTCACTTAAAATATTTGGAGTGAGTGCTAAAGTGACTCAAACTAAGGCAGCAACAAAGCTCATCACCTCAACTGCAGATCCAGTGAACTCATCCTCCACTCTAGGAGTCCGACAAAGGAACAGGCTTGTCCTTTCTGGGGATAACTTATGTTCACATCTATTCTTTTTGTACAAACTGTCCAGCATACAGTAAGAAATTGTAAAACATGCAAAGGAGCAGGAAAATTTTATCCAGAGAGGAAATAGCCAATAAAAGCAAACTCGGAGATTTCCCAGATGTTACAATTATCAGAGGTAGATAACCATGATAAAAATGCCGAAGGATCTAGTAAAAAGGGTGGAAAACATGCATGAAAAGATGGGGACATTGAGAAGAAACATGTAAACTTTAAAAAACAAGAAAAAATTCTACAATTTGATATGATGTGATTATACTTAGAGAAAAGGACCGATGTACTTGAAGAGAAGGTATTTAAATATAAAAACATTAACTAATGTCATTCTAATTCAATAAAAAATACAGTAATTGAAATTCAAAGAGAAAAGGGTGACAAAAATACAGTATGAGTTTTGTAGGGAATTCAAATGGCCTTACATCATGTAATTGAGTTTCAGGAGACGATAAAGCAAGTGGTACAGAAGAAATGTTTGAAGAGAGATTGAGAACTTCCAAAATTGATGGAAATTAACAAAGAGAACAAAATCAAGTGAAGTTTTAAAAATGAGTAAAATTGGTGAATGCCTAGCAAGACTAATATATGGGGTTGAATAGTATCCCCCAACAGTCATGTTCATCCAGACATTCAGGATGTGATTGTATTTGGAAATAGGGTATTTGCAGATGCAATTAGTTATGATGAGATCATACTAGATGGATTAGGATGAGTCCTAGATTCAGTAACTGGTGTCCTTATAAAAAGACCACATTGTGACACAAACAGAGAAGGCAAAGTGAAGACAGGCAGAGATTGGAGTAATGCAGACTCAAGCTAAAGAATGCTCATGATTGTCAGCACCTGGAAAGTAGAAGGAAGCAAGGAAGGATTCTTCCTACAGCCTGTAGAGGGAGCCTTGATTTTGGATTTCTATCCTCTGGAAATGTGAGAATAACTCTGTTGTTTTATGGCCCCCAGTTTATGGTAATCTGTTATGACAGTCTAGGAAACTTAAGAAAGTGATCAAGTAGAAAAGAAAACACAAATTACTATTACCAGGAATGAAAAGAAAGACATCATTACTTGGCCTTTTGACATTAAAGATAATATGAGCATGTTATAGACAACTTTATGCCAGTAAATTCAACAATTCAGATGAAATGGACAAATGCCTTTTGAAATATAACTTGTTAGCCCTGGCTGGTTTGGATCAGCGATTAGAGCATTGGCTTGCGGTACAGAGAGACTTAGGTTCAGTTCCTGCTAAGGGCACGTACCTTGGTTACAGTTTGTCCCCGGCCCTGGTTGGGTTGTGTGGGAGGCAGCCACTCGATGTGTCCCTTTCACATCGATGTTTCTCTCTCCCTCCCTCCCTCCCTCCCACTCTATCTGAACAAAAAATGGAAAAATGTCTTCGGAGGAGGATAAAAAAAAGAAAAAAATAACTTGTTAAAAGTGATGCAAGAAGAGTCTGGCTGGTGTGGCTCAGTGGTTGAGCATTGACCCATGCACCAGGAGGTCGCCAGGAAATCTCCATTTGTAAAGTATCTCTTGCTATACCAGAAAGAGGGAGATTACCTTATCTCTACAAACTTAAAAATACAGAAGACAAGGTCTTAAATTTTTATAACAACCTTATTCTTGTTTGCTGTGCTTTTCCCGTGACCTCCCATAACTGACTCTCCTCAACCCTGCACTTGTTTTTGTCTTCAGCTGAGGAGGCTATATAAGCTGGTGGCTTCAGCCATTTTGGCAAGTGACTTAGTTTTTCCAGATCTCTTGCATATATGCAAAAGGTATACATGTTATTTAAAACAACAACAACAAACTTATCTTTATTGTTGAATGCATTACAGATGTCCCCTCCTTTTTCTCTACTAATCCCCTCCTCCCCGCTCTCAACTCATCCTGCCTTTTCCACACTATTGTCTCTGTCCATTGGTTATGTATATATGAATATAAACCAATATCTTCCCATCCTCTCTCCCTCCTTCTCTTTGAGGTTCATCAGTCTACCAACTAATTTGTATTTCTTAATTCCTTCATCTTTTTCACCTGTCTCCTCAACCCCTCCCAACTGGCAACCAACAAAAAGTTATTTGTATCTGAGTCTGTTTCTGTTCTGCTTGCTCATTTGATTTGTAGATTCAATTGTTGATAGATATGTATTTATTGCCATTTTATTGTTCATATTTTTGTTCTTCAAGAAGACCTGTTAACATTTCATATACTGGTTTGGTGGTGATTAACTCCTTTAGCTTTTTCTTGTCTGGGAAACTATATGTCCATTGATTCTAAATGATAGCTTTGCAGGATAGAGGAATCTTGGTTGTAGGTTCTTGCTTTTCATCACTTTGAATATTTCTTGCCACTCCTTTCTGGCCTGCAAAGTCTCTTTTGAGAAATCTGCTGACAGTCTTATGGGAGCTCCCATGTAGGTAACTAACTGCTTTTCTCTTGCTGATTTTAAGATTCTTTGTCTTTAACCGATTGCATTGTGGTGATGATGTGTCTTGGTGTGTGGACCTCTTTGGGTTCCTCTTGCTTGGGACTCTCTGTGCTTCCTGGACTTGTATGTCTGTTTCCTTCACCAAATTAGGGAAATTTTTTGTCATTATTTTTTCAAATAGGGTTTCAGTGTTGGCATCCCCATGATGTGAATGTTGGTACACTTGAAGTTGTCACAGAGGCTTCTTACATTATCCTCATTTTTTTGGATTCTTTGTTCTGACTGGGTGTTTTTTTTTCTTCATTATATTCCAAATTGATGGTTTGCTTTTTGGCTTTACATATTCTGCTATTGATTTCTTGTAAATTGATTCTTTATTTTAGTTAGTGCATCCTTCATTTCTGACTGGTCCTTTTTTATGCTCTTGAGGTCCTCACTAAGTTTCTTGACATCTCACTATGTTCTTTGTAATTCTCACTAAGTTCATTGAGCATCCTTATAACCAGTGTTTTGAACTCTGCATCTGTTAGAATTCTTATCACCATTTTATTTAGTTCTTTTCCTGGAGTCTTATTCTGTGCTTTCATTTGGGATATATAT